TTCTACCACCAATAACCCACCATCGAAGGAGATAAACCCACAGGGAACACGGGAAGGGGAAGACAACGCACACACAGCAGGGAAGGAACAGCAAACGCTGGGTCCTGGAGAGGATGATGACCCCGGGAGTGCTCTCACTGGGTCACTGAGGACAAAGGAAGAACTCACAGGAGGCCTCAGCTGTAGCCCAAGCTTCAGGGAAGCAGGACCACAGCTCTGCATCTCAGGGGACACAGACAGAGAGCTGCCACCAGGTGGCAGTCGTCTGCACCCTCAACCCTGACCTCATGCAAGGTCACACCACACTCTGTCTTTAAAGGAGTTTGAGGTGTACCACCAGGAGCAACTACGAATTCAGGGCACTCGCTATCAACAGTCCAGTGACCACGTGTATGTCTTTGGCAAACTGCTCCTCAGGTCCTCTGCAAGTTTATCAGGGGTTCTTTGTTGTTGTTGTTACTGAGTTTGATGAGATCCTTTCTATTTCAGATGTTAACCCCTTGTCAGATACAGGGTTTGCAAATACTTCTCCCATTGTGTAAACTGCCTGTTCACGGTGTTAATGGTTTCCTTTGCCGTGCGTGGCCACCAGGTGTGTGCAAAGATGGTCAACATTACTAATCACCAAGGCAATGCAACTCTAAACCTCAGTATCCCCTCCTACCTGTCAGCATAGCTACTGAGGAAAATGGAAGATCAAAGATGGGGAGAAAGGGAGCCTTTTGCATGTTTGGAGGGACTGTAAACAGGCACGGCCACTGTGGACAACAGGATGGCCTTTCCCCCAAAACCTAAAAATACACCTACCACAGGATCCAGCAATCCCCTTCCAAATGTGCACCTAAAGGCAAAGAAATCAGGGCCTCAGAAAGATACCTGTCCTCCCCTGGTCCCTAGAGGAATATTCACAGTAGCTTTGATGCAAAACCAGCCTTCATGCTCACTGACAGACAGGTGAATACAGATCATGTGACATGTACCTGGGGGCCCAGGTCTAAGAGGGGCAACAAGTACAGAAGAACACTCATGCTAGAGGCAGGAGAACACTGCCCAGGACAGATATCTGCCCCCTGTGCCCCTGCAGCACACAGCAACCACCGAGGTTTCCCCCACGGGTGGATGAGTGAAGAAACACAGGCATATGGGCCAAGGCACATGACTGAACCAGGAAAAAGGAAACCTTGCCCTTTGCAACGCCATCCAGGAAACTCCAGGGCCTTGTGCTAAGTGGTGTAAGGCAGGCAGAGAAAGACAACCACTATCTAATCTCCTTGTGTGTGGAATCCTAAAAAACTGACTCAGATGCAGAGAACAGACTGGTGGTCTCCAGGGGAGGTGGGGGTGGGAGTGGTCTGAGACCCAACAAACTTCCAGTTATAAGGGCAACAACTCAGGGGATGCGGGGCAGAGCATGCTGAGTACAGTAATAATACAGGGTGTGCATCTGAAACCTGCTAAGCGAGTGGAGCTGACAAGTCCTCATTGTAAGGAAAAACCTATAATCTGGTAATGCATGTTAACTAGGCTTACTGGGAGAATCATTTTACAAAAGTTAAAAATAGGAGATCTTTATAATGGAACCTGGGGCTCATATACTGTGATATGCAAAGGGTATCTCAATGAAAATTCCTTTAAAATGCTCCTGTTGGCTCTCTGGCATTGGAAAATGGTTGCGGGGGAATCCTGCAATCCACCTCTTCCACGGTGGACTTCTGAATATCAGTATACCAGTATTCCTCTGATACTGGAAACTGTAGGCAGTAGGGGTTGGAACTGACACCAAACAGGAGAAGCCTGACAACCTCTAACTCGCTTCAACTTCCTCCAAGGCCCTGAGCAGCGCGTGGAATTTCCCCAAGGAACCTTCCTTAAAGCAACGCACACAGGGCACAGCCTCCTCCCATGGGGGTCCAGAGGGAAAACGGACGAGGAATGAAATCCACAGCTGTGAAGCTAATTCCTGGGACCCCTGGGGAATGACACTGTTCCCTACATCATAAGTGACATCAGTCTCACTTTGTAAAAATGACTGTCGTTATTTGGTGTCTGTAAATGGCACTGGGTCTTGAAAGGGGATCGTCCTCACTCTTCAGAGACACAGGATGAGATCAGCAGGGTGACCCGCACAATATTGGCCGAGTCCTTTCACCAAACCAGAGAAATATTTTGGAAACATGATGCGTTCAACAGAGTGCACAGAGACCCCCTTGCACACCCAGCTTTGCCAGAGTCTCCCTGGCCAGGAAGGGACAGGGTTAGGGTCAGGAAGGCGGTGACCAGGTCCCAGAGCCAACCTGGTTACCAAGAGGGGAAGAAAGTGACCACAGAGATGTGGCATGCCAGTGACAGGGTCTCCTTCACAACGTCCTTCCATGCCTCGCTGCGCCATCTCCAGGGCCCATCAGAAACTCCCTTGAGAAGACCACCCCCACCCTGACACCTGATGGGACCCACAGCTTCCGGTGAGCGCACCTCCACCCAGCCCGTCACTTGGGGCCTCTGAAGCTCGGCATTTTAGTGAGCACACAGCGTGGACCGTGACCACGTTCCACATCTCTCTCCAGCGTCTCCATAGAGCACTGGTCAAAAATGACCCTGGTTAATGGGTTTTTTCACCACCACATCTGAAACAAATGCATCGATACATTCTCTACAGAGGGTTATAATCTATGTGAGTAGATGTTTCTCTCAAACATCCTCCGACTGGAGAGGAAGGAATCGGGATGGATGCACCTTCCTTGGTCTCTGAACACGCTACCCCTGGGCATGGGGCACAGGGCTGTCCCTACTGGGACCACTGTTTACTCGGCTGGGTCTCAGAGCCTGAGGTCATGGGTGTATTCAGAACCGGGTGCCATCGAGGACAGAGAGGGTGTGGAGCTCCTGCCATTCCCTCCAAGAGTCCCCACTGGACCCAAATGACAGGGAGAGCCCAGTCTTGACATGTCTGAGGACAGGACAACTCACTGGCTCCCAGCACTGCTGTCAGGTACAGCTGCATGTCCCCTGAGTATCTGAGTGACCCTAAGCTACAAGGGCTGCCCTTGCTTTGTGATACAGAGACTCCGAGGAGACAGGTGGGGTCACCATTTCACCCTCCCTTTTACCTCTGAGTAAGAAAAACACAGCATGTATGTTGGGCGGACTCAGGCCAGCCGGGTCCTCCTTTTGTGGCTGAAAGAGAAAATAAACGCACAGACGACAGCAGTCCTGTGGAGGAAAGGGGACGGCACGGCTACTCTCTCAAGGGGAGCGTGTCTATGAGTGCCTCGGCCACTCCCTCAGAGGAGAGCGCCCCAACCCTTGCCTACGCAGGCTTTTATTGTTTCCTCGGGGCTTACATCGGAGAGACATTCATTATCTATTACACAGAATATTGTTGTCTACATTTTAGATACAACCAAGGAAGTGAAAATAACATACAGAGGGGAATGGCAGCAAGCTGATTAGCTCTGTCCTTGGGAGAATTCACACAGGCTTTGGAAACTACCTGGAAGATGGATGATACACATTTGTTGTTTCAGACCAGGGTGATGGAGTTTTAGGAAGAGCAAGCCATCACAGTCGGTATGCATTTTCTAGGCCTGATTCCCACGGGAAAAGTCGGTTTGAAGGTCTGGCTCCTGCCCACCACTTCGCTTCTGTAGGTTTCCCATACAGAGCCGAGTCACATCTGCCTGACTGAAACATACTGGTCCTCTACAGTACCAGTCTCATCACCTGCCACCTGGGATGATGGTAAATTTTGGACATTTTCCACTTGAATGTCACCATCCTTGATAGCCTCTGGAGGCTCAGGCCCACCTGTCTCTTGTCCCTCACAATTACTACAGAGAGACCTGGTTCCTAGTATGGCCTGAGACTGTACAGGAAACAGCATTGACAGATTCAAAGTTGCACGAGGCAAGCACATGAGTTCCAGAAAGTTTACTCCTGTGCGGAGACAGCCCCACCCTGCTTGTGTCCTTACCCCACCTGAAGGTTCTCTGAGAGTTTCCCCCTCCCAGTTTGCATACAGAGGAGTAGGTATACTTTGTGCTCTGAAGGACTTGCTCATGAGGAACAGGTGATTTGAACAATTTAGTTACTCTGAAGTCACCCAAGTTGCAGCCCCCGCTGAACTCTGCGGGAACCTGGAGCCTTATATAAGGGCAAGGCTCCGCTTCCCATCCACTCAGCTGCTCAGCTTCCCAGCCGCCAGCATGAGGATCCACCACCTTCTGCTTGCATTCCTCTCCGTGCTCCTGCTGTCTGTGCCAGGTGAGCAGGGCAGAGCCAGGGGGCCGCACAGGTGGGAAAGACAGGGCAGTCCCTCTCTGTGCCCTCATCTCCCTCCTTCACCTTCTCTCTCTCCCCTGTCTTCTTCTGTCTCCCCACCCCCATCCCTCCCTTCTCCGTCTTTTCTCTTCTACACACACTCTTAGACCAAAGAGAGTGTCTCCCTTGTTCCTGAGATCCGAGTGCCCTGCCCATCGCCGCAAGGGAAGGAGGTGCAGAACCTTCCCTGAGCCTCTCCGAAGGCCCTTTCCAGCTCGTAAACATCATCTACTCACCGAGCTCCAGGGTCAGATGCTGCTAACAGAGGTGGCCTCTGTTGGGTAGCTTTTCTTATTTAATACAAGCAAGAAATTGGACTTTGTCTAAGGTCAGACGCGTAGAGTGCCACTTTCTAAGTCTTATACTGAAGGGTGGAGTCTCCAGTAACCTAGACAATAACAAAGCCCATCCTGGACGTGGGCAGCCACTGTTTGGGGAGACATCTGTGCCTTTGCCTTCTCGACCTCAGGATCCATGACGACGCATGCCTGACAGGGCTGCTCTTGGCTCAGGGCTTGGAGCTCTGACAGCTGGCTGCCCACGCTTGACTTTGTCTTTGATGTTACGGAAATGGACTAGAAGGGGAAAGGAGGAATTGGGTAAGGAGGGGAAGAGAAGTGGGAGGCAGAGACGTTAAGTCACCGATTACCTTTCAAAAACTCTGTTGGAAAGTTGTGGTTTTATTCATTTGTCCATGGCTGTATTCCAACACAGAACAGTATCAGGGAGGGAGGAGGGAAGAGCAAGAAGAGGGGAAGGAAGGCAGAAAGACTGAAAAGGCCAGGAAGAGAGAATCGAGGAAGTGAGAGGTCTCCCATACTTCCCAGAGATGAGAAACACTCCTACAGAAGGAGTCCTAGAAGCGATCTTTATTTCCAATGGTCAGTTCCTCAGTCATTAGGCTCTCCTTCAACAATCCCTACCCCTAAGCTCTATCTCAGCTCCCATACTTCACTGAGGAAATGATTAGGAAAACAAAGGTTAAAAATAGACACCTGCTGGCTGTTTCTGATGCTGAAACCACTGGGCTGTGTGCAAACCTGACCTTGCAGGGCTTCCTGGTGACTCTCTGTTGGAGGTCCTCAACGGGCACAGGCTCTGTCTAGTCCCACCCGTCCCTAGGCCCCCAGCTCGGAGACTTTAAGCAGCTGGTTCTAGAAACGTAAGGAACCTCTTGAACCTCAGCAGTTCTCATCTGTCTGGAAAGGGGATCCTAACTTTGCAGACTCATCTGTTATTATCATAATGCAGTGACCACCACCTTGAGGATTCACTGTAGGACCCACAGACTCAGATTGCTTTCATTTCTGACACTCTTTGGCCCTTTTTATTTTCCTTCCAGGTTCTTCTAAGTTTCCACGTCTTGGTGTCTGCGGGAGGAGAGGAGGTCGATGCTTGCCATTCCGTTGCCCTGGAAATAGAAGAGCAATAGGCAATTGTTTCGTGCCTGGAGTAAAATGCTGCCTACGAAAGTAATTTGAAAACTAAGAACCAGTTGTCACAGAGAAGTCAGAAATGTGCCCTTTGCAAAGACATCAAATCCAAATAAAGTAGAACTGCTTGGTTCAAAAACCAAGAATCTTGCCCTTTTGTCATCCTAGTTACTGTGCAGAGATGGATTGCACCAGCCGATCCAAAATCCCTGGAGGGCCCCTTGGAAGCTCCCCTACTGACCTTCAGGGACCCCATGCTGCTCTCTTCTTCTGTTTTTCTGGTTCAGGGGCCCCTTTGGGTCACCTGAGCTCCCCAGTGACCCCTGTGCTTCCCTAGTATGCACACTTGCCTCTCGCTTCCTCCAGCCCCGTGAGCCCTCACCTGCCCCATCTCATCCTCCCAACAAGTGCCTCCTTCACCCAAGCCCCACAGAGCACCCTCTCCCCAAGGGCCCCACACCTGCTCCCCACTGGAAGGGACCCCTCCATCCTGTAGGCCACCCAAGTCCTCCCTTCTTTTTGGTTCCTGTGGGTCAACCTCCAATTCTCCCTTTGGCTATAAAACCTCTGCGGAGTGGACTTGGTCCACTTCATCTATGAACTGCTCTTTGAGGACAACATGGCTTTATTCATTGTGACCCATTTGGTGGCAATGAAGAGTCAGACACAGTGTGTCTCTCCAGGGGGACACAACATGGGGAAGGTCAGGGGTGTAGCACAGCAGTCCTTTTGGAGGTACATGTGCAGGAAGACGACCGAGCATGGGACACAGAACAGGGGAACAGACACCAGAAGGAAGACAACAGAGATGGCAGGGGGAGCACAGAGATGCTGGTCTCACCTGCCTCTTGTCTGTGCTTAGTTGTTTGAGCAACACCCTTTGGAGGGAGTGTCTACAGTCCCCACTTCCCACCTTCTCTTGGGAGGTGACATCACTCAAGTCTGACTCACCCCCACCTCTGCACCAAACTGACCCCTGTCCAGAGGAATCATAATGCATGCTGACCTCACTCAGCCCTTTCTCTGCCCACTGTGACGTGACATGACCCAACCCTAATTATGTGGCAATGGGCAGCTGCTCTTAGGTGTCCCTGCCTGGAAGGACAGCAGCAGACAGCCTGTGAAGGGTGCAGGAACCTATTGCAAGGTGGGTGTTCATGTGGGAGAAGAAGAGGTGGGAATAAATCATAATATTTAGGGAGTCAATAAAAATGATTGCTTTCAGTGTACAAGCATAGGGGGTAGGAAAGTGGACAAAAGCTTTCATTCTATACACTTTGTTCTATTAATATTATTATTACACTTATTATTTTGCTAGAGTCAAGGAAGTAAGTCCCTCAGAGCTACTGTGTAGAATTAAGTGTGACTTATTTAAACAGATTACCCCACTTACTCTATTTTTAAGTGAATATCACCAAACTAAAATTGGTCTCTATTTAGTGAAAAATTCAAATACTGATGAAAAGATTCAAAACTCTCCTTTCACCTTTGCTCCAGCAAGAAAGAAAATTTGGTCAAATTCAACTTTTAAATTGCAGTGTTTTTCTGAGACACTCTGTACCTTAATGGAAGGAACCAACCTCTTGTGTCATTTCTGAAACCCAGAGGTTGCCTGGGAAGCCCTTCTTGCATTGGAATGGCTCCCTGGCAGGAACCTCAGCTCCAGCACAGCTCTGCATGGAGAGGCACCAGCCAGCCACTGACTCCACTGATCTCCCAGTTTCTCACATGGGACACGGGAGTGTGGTACTTCATTCCTCATCAAAGATACAGGTAGAACTGGAGCTTCAAAAGGCTACTTCAAGATCACTCAGCTAATAAGTGGCAGATGAAGGACTGTGAACCAAGGTCAATCTGACCCCAAAGCTCTTTAACTATTAAGTGGAATTCCTTTTGTTTTCATTCCCCCAAAGGTTACTGCTTACTTCATTGCTCCGATGAGTTCTTTGACGTTTGTTTCTTAGTCATAATGTACCTTTCTCCTCCCTAGTATTACTGGCTGTTTTCAGATAAGTAGGGAAATCAGATTTTCTCTGTCTCCTTCTTTTCCTTTATTCCTTTCTTTCTTCCTTCCTCCTTCCTTCCCTCCTTCCTTTTTTCCCTTCCTTCCCTCCCAGATTATTTCCCCCATGCATCCATTTTTTGACTCACTCACAAATCAGTTCTGCTGTACTAGCACTCATTCATTTAAACAAATGTTTGACTACTTTTTCTATGCCAGGCACCCTGTTCAAGGTGCTGAGAATGTGAGATAGTAACAGGACTTGTTATTTTAGAAATTCGTGGCATAGTGAAAAAGGGAGACATATAACAAGGTAAAGTAGAACTGAGATAGAGAGGCAGAGATGGAGGAGAATTTCAATGCATCACCTGGGATTCTTCTGGGCTTTATCACAATAATGCATTGACGTAAAACCTGTATTAAAAAATACTGTCACTGGGATGACAGGGGTGGATCCTGAGAGGATCATGCTAAGTGAAATATGTGAGCTTCAAAAGGCAAGAACCACAGGATGTCACTCACACGTGGGATATAAAACACAAAGCAACAAACAAGCCGAGTCACAGACACAGACAACAGTGTGGTGGGCACCAGCGGGAAAGGGGGTTGGACAAAGGTTGAAGAGGGCAGAAGGGCTCAAACACATGGTGACAAAGGGACACTGCCCTCTGGGTGGTGAGCACACAATGTCATGTACAGATGATTTATTACAGAATGCTATGCTTGAAATTGATATAATCTTACTTAACCAATGTTACCCCAATTAATTTAATTGTTTAAACATTAACAAGAAAGAAGAAGAAGTATTGTGGTCCCCAAAGTCTTACCTGCTCGTGACCTCTGTGAGAGTTTGGCATGGTGAGAGCTTGTCTGGGATGCATCCACGCTCTTTGAAATAGGTAGCCAAAAGTAAAAAAGACTGAGTAAAAAAGGAGAGATTATTTTCATTTACAAAATTTCACCTCCTTATTTACCTCCTAAAAAGGGAGATGGTCATCATATTCATAAACAAGAAACTCACTTGCCATAAAGGGGTATAGACATCTGCCATAAAGATGAATGAATGACTGCATAATTTGCCGAATCAACTCAGTTTTTAAACTATTGTGTTTCTCAAGCAGAAAAAGTACCAAACCTCCAAGTCCTAAGCAGAAGTGAGAATCAAGGAGGAAATGCTGACTTACTCTCAAGGTCTTCCTTGTGGTCAGGCAGAAACTTGGGTCTGTACCCACGTGTCTATAGACGAAACCTCCTCAAATTACAGCCGAGCCTCAATTGAACACCTTCATTGGGAAGACAGGCTTCTTGTCTCTGGCTGAGCGGTTCAAACTCTTTCACAGATCACCTGCCTCCACTGATGTGCACTGAACAAGGAGCCACCACCAGACACGGCCAGTTCTTCCTGTAACCCAAGAACTCACTTCCCACCATGAGGCTCCTGTCCCTTCTCTTCCTCCTCCTCGTGTGTCTTACCCAGATGGCACCAGGTAAACTGTAGATCCATCTGGTAGGATGAGCCAGTGGCTGACCTAGGAGCCCAGAGTAGAGGGACCCAAAGTGTCTCTTAATCCACTGAGGCACTGAAATATGGAACAACCGACTAACATTGTAGCTGAGAGAGACATAGTGTGCACAACGCACTCCACCTGACAAATAAGGAAGGAAAAGCGTGAAGAACTTAAAAAGGTTTTCCCAAGTTTGCCCACCACTGATAATGATGATAGATTAACATTTTCCCAGAAAAAATAAACTTATTGTTTTAAATTACATGTAAGCCCTGGCTGGTGTGGCTTAGTGGATTGAGCATCTGCCTGGGAACCTAAAGGTCACAGGTTTGATTCCCAGTCAGGGTACCTGCCTGGATTGCGGGCCAGCCCCCCAGTAGCGGGCACAGGAGAGACAAGCACTCCCAATCTTTCTCCTTCCTTTCCTCTCTCTCTAAAAACAAACAAATAAAATCTTTAAATTTTTTTTAAATTACATGTAAAACAAGAACACTTTTTAGTATGACTATGATCCATGCAATACCTATTGGAACATAGTTATTATATTAAAAGTCTTGTTCTTGTGTATTTGACATTCAAACTTAAATGGGTGTCCTGCATTTCACTTGGCAACTTCATGCATTTGTTGACACGTGCCAGGTTGTGCCCTGGTGAGGGCAACGTCTGAACTTTGGCATCTCAGAGGAGCAAAGTTTTCGTTCTTGTCAGAGTACAAATTAATAGCGGCCAGAGAGGTGCTCTGCGCACTCCGGCTGCCCAGGCCCGGCTGCCCGAGCCGCCACCAGTGGGAACGTGGCTGGTTCCTGGGTTGGAGGTGAGGGCTCCCCGGAGTCCCACGCTGCACCTCCAGGCTCCAGAGGGCATGTCACTTCTGCTCCGAGCTGATGACCCAGGCACGTCCTGCGGCCCCACCCAGTCACTCAGAAAGTGAAGCCTACTCTGTGTCAGGAAAATGGATAGCCGGGCCTGTATGGTGGACAGCCTCATGGAAATAGGCACACAGTAGGTACAAACCTGGACACATAAGTGCAAATATAAGTATAGACATGGGCGTACGGGGTGGGCTTACAGGTGTCAGTATGCGGAACACCGTTCATTCTTGTATTATTCATTACTTATTGTATTATTTATTTCTATTACACCTGTAAACCTACTTTTGCCCGCCTCTGTACATGAATGTATATTCATATTTATATGATAATAGGAATGATATTAATTGTAAATGCATGTCCATAGGTGTAATATGGATATAAATACATCTGAATTGCATACATAATTAATCATTATTTTGACCTTGCCTCCTTATGAAAAATGAGGCGAGTCCGCGGCTTCCAGGGGAAAGCTGCAGTTGAGGCAGATCCAGACCTGGAAGCCAGGAATCCTAATCCCTGGCAGAGTTGGCTCCCCACCCCAACATGGGGCCTTTCCACAGCCACTGACTCGCCCAGAAACACTCCTTCTCCGTGGCTTCCTCGTGCCCGCCAGCCGGTCTCTCTCTCTTGCTCTCTCTAGTCCGGACTGAGACTCCGTCTCCTCCCCAGGATGCCTTCTGAACTGCTGGAGTGCCCCCCACCCCCACCAACCGGGCCCCTGCCGGTTCAGTTCGCCCGGAGCCGGAGCGCACGTGCGCACCACGGGCCGTGACCGCGGCCTCGCTGCACCCAGGAGTGAGGACGCACAATTCCCGTCTCACTCACCTGGGCTCCGTGCTTGTCGCACTTTGCCCTTTGGACCAAGAAAAAGGCACTTTAGGAAGCTTTTGTAGACGAACATGGAGAGTGGATCTCTGATCTAAAGTGTCTTCATCTGCAAAGGAAAGACCCTCCCTGCAGAGGTGGGCCAGCTGTCGGCGGGGAGGGCGGAGTGTAACCCACACGCTGGGCTTTGTGGGCCGCGGGTCACTGCCGCGACAGCTGGCCTGCGCGGCTGCGGACGGAAGGCCACCACCGGTGAGGTGGAGACGAAGGGGGCGCTTGTCTTCCTATGAAGTTAAGTTAGCCACAGGCACTAAAATCTGCATGCCATACCGTTTTCATGAATCGTCCGACATTCCTCTTCTTCTGTGTATTTCCCTGCCACGTAAAAACCGTGAAAGCCGTTCTCGGCCCCCAGGTCACGCCAGAGCAGGGAGAGGGTTAATTTTGTCCCGTGGCCAGTGGTTTTCAGATTCTCACCGCACAAGGGGAGTTCGTGGTTCGGGTTCAGCATGCCTTCATTTCTTTTTGGTGGTTTTTTGTTTTCACCTCTTCCTTTGCAGGACACAAGAAAGAAAACAAGAACCAGCAGTGTGAGAATATGGGCGGCGTCTGCAGGCACCAGAGAACCCACGGCTGCTCCATCCTGCCGGCCGAGTGCAGGAGCCGGAGCAAGCACTGCTGCAGAGTCTAGGGTTGGCCGGGCGACACCCCTCTTCCCCGCCCCCAGCACGAGCGACCGCCGCCACCGACTTCCAATAAAATCCCCTCCACTCACGTGGGGCCTGCGCCGGGTGTGTCTGAGAGCGTGCTTATTAGAGGGAACGGGAGGGGAACCCCTAGGTTCGAAGTGTGCTCACTCCGCTACTGAGCTGATTGACTGCGGACAGGACCTCTTGTCTCCTCCCGCTCTGAGTTTCTGCACCTGGACTATTGCAACTGTGGTTCTCCTCGCGGCCTGGGATCTGCTCACGTCTGTCTGTGCACCTCTGGACTGAGGAAAAGAGCTTTGAGGGGCAGAGGGGAATGTGCCTTGTATGTGGAAAGGTTCCTGAGATTATGTTCGCATTTTCATGTCCCTTAAAGACTCTTGGGTGTCAAGCAGTCCTGAAGAGCCAGGGAAACAAGTTAGTTGGAAGGCCCCAAGGAGCAGAAAGATTTCAGTGGGCACTTAGGCATCGGTCCCCAGAACCAGAACTCAGAGACGGCGGAAGTGACCGGAAGCCCAAACAAGGAGAAATTTGGCCCCGACACCCCCTTCCCTAGCTTGTGACGCTCTGTCCCCACCTCAGTCGAAGGTGGAGAGTTTACTTTTTGGAAATGCTGAACCAGGAAGGTGGTGGACTTGGAACCCTGGGTAGCACAAAGGGGTCGTGAGGCCGTGAGCTGAAAACAGATGCATTAAACGAAAACGTACAAGCGCCAAGGGGCAAGCACCAGCTTCCTTCCCCCACGCAGCCCTCAGGACCCCGCGCCTGCTCTGGCACCACCAGGCTGAGCAGAGTCAGAGACACGGACGGCCTCTCCCCCTGCCATCACAGAAGGCCTCTACTCGCTCTCGTAGTGACCGAGTGTGTGTCTCTGAAACATCAGCCCAACGTGGGATAGGAGAGGCTGCTGACTGACAAGCCAGGTGAACTTTGGAGCCCTACCTAACCTCACATGAAAAACATGGAGCTTAACAAGGAGGAGGGGACCTGAAGTTGGGACAGGGACATTTGGGTGGACTCTGATCCTTCTAATACCTTGAACTCCCAGATCTTAGCACCCCTTCCTGAGGGGTGCTTAGCCTCCTCTCGCCCAAAGTCTCTGCCGTGACCTCCCCTGACACAGAGGCCTCCAGGCCGTTTCTGCAGACACGCCTTGCCAATGTCTCATTGCTCCTGGATCATGGGGACAGCAATCTGAAAGACTGCAGAAGCTCTCCCCATGAAGACCTGCTGCGCACATCAAAGGAACTGTAAGGTTTTGCAAGTGTGGACCCCACTGATACATTTTTTTATTTCATCCTGAGGCTGTCGCAGCAGAAAGGAGATGAGAGACCATTGGATCGGGGCAGTATATGGGCACATGGAGTCAGTGATTCCGGGCTCAGTAGCTTTGCTCAAGCTGCTAGGAGTGCTCGGTCGGCTGGAACACTGACCTAGTGACACGGGAAAGAGAGCCGAGATGTCAGGACGTCTGAAACAGGGAGGGATGTTGGAACTGACGTATGACGCGTGACCACAGAGGCGTGTTCTGACCTCTGCCGGGGCCCGGAGCACGCTCCCCTCACAGACGAGGGCATGAAGCCACGCATCAGTGAGGGAGCCCCAGATGAGTGAGAAGTTGTACAATGCCTGTCCTCTGTAATCCAGGGACCACGGGGGAACCCCACCATCGATGTCACTGCAGAAGTTACACTATCAGAGGCCAAATGGTACTATTTAATGGGCCGGATAATGTAGTACTCTAATAAGTCGACTTCATCACTGAGTTAATAGGTGTAACAAACCTAATTAGTTATTAAGTTAGGCCTGACCCTTGCCATAGACATTGGGGCTGGACTGGTCCTCAGGAAAGGTTTAACCCCAGAGGCCTCAGGCCGTCCTGAGTTGGCGGCACTGTGGCTGGAATGGAACTAGGAGCTCGGTTTCCCGGAGTGGCCGCAGGTGCCGCTCCTCCAGGGTGCACCTCAACCTGCCATTCTCCTCGGCCCCTCCGCCGTCCAGCCCTCTGTCCTCTGTTGCCTGTCCATCTCTGCTGGAAGCCCAGCCTGGCGGCTGCCACAACAACCCATGCCAGCCCTGCGGTCAGAAATCACCCTCTCTCCTCCGAACTCTAGCCCAGAGGCCCTGCTCTGGGAGCTCCCCCTCTCCCAGCGAGTCCCACGTAGCTGCAACCTCCCTCCTCGCTCCTCACCCGCAGGGACCAACTCCTCCCGCTTCTCCTCCCAAGGAGCTTCTCGGTGACTGACCTCCAAGTCTTGTCTCCGGCAGTGTCTTCCTTCCTGCCCTCTCACCTCCCACTCGGACACTTCTGTGCTCGCATAATATCCTCAATGGCATCTAAAAGTCTTCCCTGTTTCCCCGTAGCTTAAACGATAAAGTAACATTCTCCCGAGAATCTCACGTCCCCCATCCGTGGGCCATGCCCCTGAGTCATGTGTGTGGCCGGGGATCCTCGTCTCCTTTGTTCTCTTCCTTCTGGCACCTCGCGCTCTCTCCTTCGGCTTTCCCTGGCTAACTCTTTCTCATCGTTTTAAGATTCAGCTCATATTCACTGGGGAAGATATTCTTGATCCGCCCAACTTGGAGAAGATGCCCGTGTCTGTGTGCATCTTCAAAGGGACCTTGAGCCTATCCCCCAGCCACCTCTACAGTTCCTAGCCCACAGCAGGTGGCCAACTGGTGTTGACAAAAGAATCGAATCAGTGAATGAAGAATTAACTCAGAGTGGACATGTTAAACATGAGCCCTTCAGTTTACTGAACACGGGGTCAGGGCATGAAACGTGAATTCTCGGGTTCACTTTATTCTCAAACAGCAGAAGCTTCTTCCAGGGCACATGCCAGGCATGCGCATGATGCAGTTTCTTTTCCTCTTCAGGCACACACTTACATCCCAGTCACACCAAGTATGCACTGTACCGTGCCCATAAGCTGTAGAAAGAACAAAAACACTTGTTTGGGAGAAGAAAGGTCCAAGCTCCCTGTGCAGGGGAAGAAACACTTCAGTACAACCAGGAAACCCCAAACTTCACTGCTCATTGCTCATGAGGGAATTAGGCACCTGCTCGTCCCCACCTTGTCCCTTGTCTGTTCAACAGGAGGACCATGCCCATGTCTGAGAGCTGGTTATGGACAGCAAAGTTTGTGCTGTTATTTGGAGGCTGGGATGAGACGCTTCCAATGTTCCTCATGGGTTGATATGCCACAGACCCCCGAGTGTCCCCGCAGGTGTCCTTCCAGAATTGTCAGATACTGTCCTTTAGAAGCAGACACTGAGGTTGAGGGGCTACATATGTGTTTATCCAAGCACGCAAACACACAGGACATGCCCCGAGGACTTTGAGGCATGTCAGCAACCCTCTGAATTTCACCCACAAGTTCATCCTGAAGTTTCCCAGGCTCAAGCCCCACCTTCAGGATTTGACAGCTGTGTCTTAAAAGTAAAATCAAAGACCTAAATTCAAGGCTCTAAAGGAAAAGACCCAGAAGACGCAGGGGCACCAGCTGAGGTGCTTACCCGACTCAAGGCCAGGCTTGAAAGAGACCCCCTTCCTGCTTCTTTGAAGGTGAGAGTCTGCACTCAGCCCCAAGAAGGAAGGGTCTATGCAGCCCCCTTCATCCAGCCTGTCCCCCAAGGTCATTAACAGAGGTGACTGACTTTGGAGCCCAGGCGGCAGAGCCCCCAGAGGCTGGCTGTCTGTCACTGGCCCCAGACTGGCCGTAGGGCCGTTCCTACCCCTAAGGAATCAACACCAAGGCTGGAGATGGGCTCACAACCCCCAACTCCACCCACCCATGGAGCTCAGCCCTGTGTCTGCTTTATTCAACCGGCCCATCCCGGCCACACCCTGCTGGAGAAGTGGGTGGACTGGGCTTCCAGTGGAGAGCTTCCCCAGACCCGCTGGTGAGGGCTTCTTGTGGCCCATCCTCACACCAGATGCCAAGGCTCTCGGGAGAGGGCCACCCGCCTTGTCCTCGGCTTCATCGGAGCCACTGCGCCCAAGGAGCTTGGACAGACAGGCCACCTGCCGCTGGGAATCCCTCCCATCCCTGTGCCCTGGGGCTGTGACCAGCAGGGTGTCCTGGGAGGCAACCTGCCAGCCCTCTCCCTGTGCTTCTCCATAGCACCCCCACCACCTGCCCTTCTGTTGCTTTGATAGAAAAGCAGCCCAGGGAGGCAATTGGCTGGGGCCACTGTTCTGAGGGTTGCAACCAAACGATCCTGACTCCCAGTGAGTCACAGTGAGCAGGCTCTTGTGAAGCCAAAGCAGAGAGGACAGTGGCTGGGGGAATCCCTCTGGGTCCAGCTCCTGTCCCCTTAGTGCTTACCTGTCAATTCGTGAAGGAGCGCAAGGAGCCCTGAGCCGGGAGACGGAGCGAAATGTCTGACTAGGTGAATGGATTTATCTTAACGCAGAATATCAGAGGAGGGAAGTAGTTGGGGTGGAGGGCGAGGACTAAGGTGGGTGAACACAAAGCAGACAGGAGAGTCACTGTGTGCGGGGGGCAGGTCCGGCCCCCTCCGTGCCCTGCCAGACCCCACAGGGCTCACCCTTACAAGCCACCTTTTCTCACCCCGATCCAAGTGTAAATAAAACCCTGAGCTGTTCTGTGACACCTGGCACTTCCATGACATAGGGAGAAGAACACACCTCTGCGTTTCTTCCAAACGCCATGGTTCTAAGTGCATGCATTGCAGCCTCCTATAAAATCTCTAAGCTTCTTCTTTTCCTGCTCCTATAGCCAGACATGAAACACAACACCCGTAGAATGAGGGAAAGGGTGAACTAGAAATTGCCACCTGGAGGTGGAAGCTTTACGAGAGGACAGTGCGTGTGTCAGGGCATCATCTGGTAGACAAGAAAGCGGGTTGGTTTTTCCCATTCCTGCTCTCAGGTCAGCAGGGGCCTCTCCACGCCTCAGGTGCAAACCTGAAGGGGCTAGCCCAGGGGCCCACTCGAGAAGTTTCCTTGTCTCATCGTTCCTGGGTGAGCATTCCTGCACGGGCTCCAGGGAACTGGGGGTCCTTGGGCAAGGGGAGCAGGTGAACGGGGGAAACAGCATTCAGAGAGGAGAAGGAGATGCTAAGGAGGAGGGTGGGTGTACCTGGCGTCACTTCAGACATGAGGAAGACGACGAAGAGGAGAATGTACAACAGCTTCATGGGGCTGGTTCCGTGGAGACCTCTTTGGAGACTTCTGGAAGGGAGAAAACAAATGGCTGAAGAATGCTGTTGAATGAAAAGTAGTTTCAGCCGTCATCTGGTAGGTCTTATCGGGGTGACTACCTGAGGGAGAGAATGTCCGACTGTGACGAGTTCTAGTTAAATCGTGTACTGAGCAGTGAATGCACAGGAAGTGGACGAGAACAATGGTGCATAGCTGGAGGAGTTTCTTTTGTTACCCTCAAAGACTCTGGGAAAAACTAGTGGGGACAATGGTAAAAGTAAGAGTGACTACAGTTGATGGACGTTCGATCTATGAAGAAAACCAAGAAGAGTTTATATGACTTTTTTCCTCACTTACTCTCATGTAACTTGCATTATGACCTGCTACTTGACCTCGGGTACACTCGCAGTCACAAAATAACCTTTCGTTTTTCCACTGATCACTCTAGCGCTGCGTAGAATGAAACCTAGTAGAATGGAAACCGTCACCTACCTCTTAGGACTCCCCTCCCCAGGCTCTGTTCCGTCTCCAGATGTCCAGAGCACGCTTCCAAAACCTCTTAAATGCACAGCCGTGGCTGCGTCACCAGGTCATGCGCTCTTACTGGGGACAGGTCCTGCCCGGTCTGACCAGTGAGATTTGCCTTCGGTTCTAGGGTGACCCTGCTGATTCAGGTCCCCGTCCAGGTCACAGTGCTGTCTCATGACTGATAAAACCCCCATGTTCTCGGCTCCACTGTGGGGTGACCAAACTGAACTCTGGTAGGTGACGCTGCGGGGCTTTCCTCTCTGGCCAAAGCTTGAATAAAAACAAGTCTTCTTCCCAAAGGAGGTCTGGTCTTCAGGCAGGGACTTCACCTGACGTTCCCCTCCTCTGTCACGGGGGTGTGGCCCGCCAACCCTAACTTACGGTCCCACAGAGCCTGGGGTGAGGTCTCTGTTTTTCCTCACTCTCCCAGATGATCTTAGGCTCCCATGAAAAATGACGCCCTTCACAATGAATGAACCATGAACTTGTCTACAACAAGCAGCTTCAGAAGAGGCCGACACAGGGATTTTTGTGCCTTTCCCTCTTATTTCTAGATGACAGTTGTGTCTTACGTTTTGGGAGTTAAGCAGGACCAACCGAGAAGAGCACACGGAGGTGATTAGTCTGGCCTTCCTTCAGCCAGAGGCAGATTAGTCTTACTTTGCGTAGGTCCTAACATTGCTCCCAAATGCACACACCAGGAAGATAAGTCAGGAGCCATCCAGCATGGTGATCAAGTTTGCACGTGGTGAAACCCAGATTAGAATTAGGAACCTGGAATTTAGGAGTTCTTCCCTCCTGTGGGATAGTCTCCGGACACAGGGATTGGCTGTTAGAATTTGGTGACTATCATGTCACATTTTAAAAGAATAGTACCTTGGCTAATGACATTCCACAGATCAGTGAGAATTTAGAAAGTTCAGGTTCAAAATACAGGTTTCTGTGATATCGGCTAGCTGATTTAAGCACTTACTGTACAGGGAAAATGGGCAAAAGCCAACAAGTCGTATAAAGAGCAGCCACCGTGACTTCCACTGCCAGTTATCATAACTGACAATGACGCTGACGCTCGAACTCTGCGGCGTTGGCCCAGGAAGAGAAGAAGCTCAAACGGGCCCCTGCAGGAACACCGGTAACCGGGCATCTGGGGAAAGTCCCCTCCGCTGGTTGCATCTTTCTGGGCGCACGCGTCCATGGGCAGGCCCCGGGGCAGGACTGGAGCATTCCTGGGGCAGGAGGCAGGTTCCCACAACCGTCCCCGCAACTGTTCCTCCGTGTCCCACCTGTCCTGTGCCCCAGGCACTAGTGACTTTGGTCCTTGCACTTTGTCTTGCTTCTGGTATCACTGAGCGGAGTCACGTAAGTACACAGGTGGATTTGAGGTACCTAAAAGTGGTGAATACCTGTGAACCAGAGGCCAGAGAATCAGTGGTCTGCCTCCTTAAACAGTTTCTTATTGGAGCGCAGAGCTCCCCACATGGCCTGCTGGGCCTCTGCCCACAGATGCCAGCAGCTAGTGTTTCCACGTGGGCGGCTGCCCCCAGAGCGCGACCGCAGTTGAGGAAGCCCCTGCGTCACCTGTGTCGTAGGAAAGAATTTAGCACAGATCCTTCTGAGTGGCTCAGAATGTCAGGGGGTCCCAGCAGATTCCAGAATCTACGAAATGCAGAAATAGAGGGAAGATGAAACTGGGATGCCGGCAGTAGGGGTTTAGTGAGTTATTTTAACCCATTGCCTCTGAGACTAAAAATGTCTACAACTGTCGCAGCAGGAGGCTGTGCTGGAGAGCTATCGGGCATTTCCGCTTAGTGAGGTGAGTGAGTCTAGAAGGCGGGAGGGGTGGGAGCAGCATGGAACACGGGCAGACGGGACCAGGCAAGACCACAGACCTCCGTGCCCCAGAAGCGGCCGCATGTTGTAAAAGCCCCAATAAGTCCCAGACACTCAAGGGTGAGCGCAGCCGGAGGCTCCCAGTAACAAAGCACGAACCCCGCACAGTCAGAGCTGGAGTCTGAAAAACAACCTGATGGCTCATGCCTGCCCCAGGAAGCCTTCCCTGGACACCCCACCCCATCCCACTCGAGGCTTCACATCCCTCCCCCCCAGTACCTTCTCTGCAAATGCGTTAAATTTTGTTAAATTTGTTGGGTGACACTGGTTAATAAGATTATATATGTTTCAAGAGTACAATTCTTTTTTAAATATATCTTATTGATTATGCTATTACAGTTGCTCCATTTTTCCTCCCTTCATTCCCCTATGCCCTGCACCCCAACTCCATCATTCCCCCACCTTAGTTCATGTCCATGGGTCATACATATAAGTTCTTTGGCTTCTACCTTTCCCATACTATTCTTAATCTCCCCCTGTCTATTTTCTACCTGCCATTTATGCTACTTATTCCCTACATGTTTTCCCCCATTCTCCCATCCTCCTCCCCTGCTGATAATCCTCCATGTGATCTCCATTTCTGTGAGTCCATTCCTCTTCTAGTTGTTTGCTTAGTTCATTTGTTCTTATTTTTAGGTTTGGTTGTTGATAGTTGTGATTTTGTTGTCATTTTACTGTTCATATTTTTTATCTTCTTTTTCTTAGATAAGTCCCTTTAACATTTCATATAATAAGGGCTTGATGGTGATGAACTCCTTTAGCTTTACCTAGCCTGGGAAGCAGTTTATCTGTCCTTCCATTCTAAATGATAGCTTTGCTAGATAAAGTAATCTTGGATGTAGGTCCTTACCTTTCACGACTTTGAATTCTTCTTTCCAGCCCCTTCTTGTCTGTAAGGTTTCTTTTGAGAAATCAGCTGATAGTCTTATGGGAACTCCTTTGTAGGTAACTGTCTCCTTTTCTTTTGCTGCTTTTAAGATTCTCTCCTTATCTTTAATCTTGGGTAATGTAATTATGATGTGCCTTGGTGTGTTCCTCCTTGGCTCCAACTTCTTTGGGGCTCTCTGAGCTTCCTGGACGTCCTGGAAGTCTATTTCCTTGGCCAGATTGGGGAAGTTCTCCTTCATTATGTTTTCAAAGAAGTTTTCAATTTCTTGCTCTTCCTCTTCTCCTTCTGGCACCCCTATGATTTGGATGTTGGAATATGTAAAGTTGTTCTGGAGGTTCCTAAGCCTCTCATCATTTTTCTGGATCCTTGTTTTTTCATTCTGTTCTGGTTGAATGTTTACTTCTTCCTTCGGGTTGAAACTGTTGATTTAAGTCCCAGTTTCCCTCACGTCACTGTTGGTTCCCTGTACATTTTTCTTTATTTCAGCTAGCATAGCCTTCATTTTTTCATCTATTTTGCAACCATACTCAACCATTTATGTGAACATCATAATGACCAGTGTCTTGAACTCTGCATCTGATAGGTTGGCTATCTCTTCATTGCTTAGTTGTATTTTTTCTGGAGCTTCAATCTGTTTTTTCATTTGGGCCATATTTTTTGTCTCAGTGCACCTGTTATGTAGTAAGGGGTGGAGCCTTAGGTATTCACCAGGGTGGGGTAACCCATGTTGCTGCTTGTGGTGCTGTCTGTGGGGGAGGGGACAGAGAGGAAATAGTGCCACTTGCTCAGCTCTCAGCTGGCTTTCAGTCACTTCCTCCACTATCCACAATCAAATTGGGCCCTTCTGGTACTGATTCCTGGGTGGTTTTGTGTACATTCTAGGACCCTGTGGGTCTCTCCAAGGAACTCTCCTATGAAGCTGGGAGTTTCCCCCACTGCCACAACCCCCACAGGTTTTTTCACTCAGAGGCTTTGAGACTTTATATCCCCGTGCTGGAACCCTGGGTTGTGTGGTCTGTCTCACTCCCCAGTTGTTCCTCTTGGTTTATCTGCATGCAAATGTGGGACTGCCCGCTCTGCCAGCCACTGGCTTGCCCACCCTGGTCCTCCAGCTGCTGCCTTGCCACATGTCCTCCCCACCCCAGCTGCCCATCTCCACCCCTCCTCCTGGTCTGGGTGAATGTTTCTTCTTTAACTCCTTGGTTGTGGGACTTCCATACAGTTCAATTTTCTGTCAGTTCTGGTTATTTTTTGTTTTTAAATTTGTTGCAGTCCTTCTTTTGGTTGTGTGAGGAGGCACAGTGTGTCTATCTATGCCTCCAACTTGGTCAGAAGTCCTCAAGCATACAATTCTATAATACATCACCCACATATTGCTTTTTGCACTTAATGTGTTTTGCATTTAGTGTATTAAATGTTACTTATCTATTGTTTTTCTCCTCCATTAGAATATATGCACCATGCAGTGAATTTTTTTCTGTTTGGTTCACAGCTCAATTCATAATTTATCGAGAAAAATATGAATGAATGAAAGTTGACATAATTGGTTAATTTTCTCAGACTCAAGCAACACAGGCATTCAAATCAGAGGGATGTGTCACTCTACTGATTCACCGTGACAAAGAGCTTCAGAGCTGGGGCCACAGCATAAGCCACGTTTATGCTCAGCGTCCCCACCTCTCCTCTGTCTTCACCCCTGACCACCAGGGCCCTTTCCCTCCCCTGCCTCCCCTCTGAGGTTTGCTCTGCTCATCACAAGCCAGGCCCCCATGTTTGGATCAGGAAGAAAAGGGAGGAAGAGGAAGACCTAGAGGCATGGGGGGCTGGTGCTGGGGTTTTCCAGAGACTTTAGAGGAGAGAGGTGTCAGCAAATCTGTGAATGCTGAGAGAATTATATGGGAAAGCAAAGATGGTTTTTTTCTTCGTGGTGAAGAAATACAAATGAGAACATAAATTGTGTTTAAATTACTCATCAGTTCCTAAGTTTGCCTGGCTTTGGGGGTAGACTGTGCCACCAAAGGACAGGGTCCCCTGCAGGCCCATAGCACAGACACCAGGAAGAGGCAAAACCCTGCGAGGGTCCCTGGACCCGGACTCTGGAGGATGACAGTGCTGATGAGGGACAGTGGAGAAATAGACACTCGTGTCTGTGTCCAGGGGGGAGCGCCCATAGTTCCTTTACTTACTCAGTGACGGGGACCCAGTCACACAGGTAGCCCTCATTGTCCCTCACGACAAAGCCAGCCAAGCTCTGTTCTCTTCCGTGGGTTTCTTTAGGTTTGGGAAGCATGTAAGCATATCTTACCTTTTCTCTTTGTCTCCCACCTTCCCGGGCACCTTGGACGACTTTCTGCCGCCTCCCTCCCCTCCCCTGACGTGCATTGTAAATCGCAGGAAGCAACGCTGATCTCTAGGCTGGCTCCTCCCCGCAAGGAAGGACAGTGACATCGTAGAGAGACCACTTACTGAGGAGACTCAGTGGGTGGCATGCCTGGACAGGAAAAGTGAGTGAGGAAGACACACAACGGCCTCTAGGACTCCAGCCCCATGCATAAGCCTTCTGACCTGCAATTGAAATTCCTTTCTGGATACTCTCCGAACACCTGTGCTTTCATCCTACATGTCCCCAACACCACCCTCCTTAGCCCTGTGCAGCCCCCATAGCTCCTCCCATTTGTACTTGACCCACAATGGTGGCAGGATCCAGGACCACACCCTGTCTTCATGGTGCCTCGCCCACTGTAGTGAATTCCTTCCTGTCCAGATGCCTGAGACTGTGAAGGGAACCATAACTCCCTGTCTGCACAGACAGAGAATTCTGGAACAGAACAAAGTTTTAGATTATGCTCCTTCTTCTATGACTGTGTCATCTTGGGGGAGCGGCTGAATCTAGCTGAGTTTTGGTTTCTACATCTGTGAAGTGGGTTTGATAGACCGGAGTGGTTCTAAGGGTGCAGTGTTATGTGCATGAAAGTGCTTTGCAAAAGTTAACGCGTAACATAAATTTAATTCTTGTCATTGTTCCCCTCTCACTACTACCCCTTCATGTGGCAGGTGCCTGAGCTGGGCTTCCTCCCCCGGGCGCCTTCATCAGCTCCTCTTTATCCGGCAGCAAATGGTGAATGCTCGGCAGGATCCTCGGTAGGGCTCACAGTTTGGTGTCCCTTGCTTCAGGCAGACTCCACCCCGAAGGTAGCAGGGTCTTTCAAAACTGAGTGCCCTAGTGCTGTCTGCAAAAAGGAAACGATGTTTGTTTGAGCTGGATGTCCATGAGGACAGCTGGAGACCTCAATATCGGGATGGGCCCCCATCTTTCCCAGCTAAACACCAACAGCAAAGTGGGTTTGATCCTCAGACTTCACCCTCTCGTCCTGCCCTAAGATGTCATTGCTGCTGATACAACCTCTAGCCAAATTGTCCTTCCTGCCAAGGGAACCACCGGGCATTCACTGGAGGGTGCGGTGTGCTCTATCAGTGACTATTGCCCAGTGTGTCTCCCCAATGCCCCACCTCTCTCCCCAATTGCCCCACCTCGCCACCACACAAGACCCACCCCAACTCTCGGTCTCAAGGGATGGAAGCCTCACCCATCTAAACTCTCGGTCACTCCCATGACATGAGTGGCAAGAGGTGTCTAGCCAGGGTCTCCATGACATTTGTCTCCACTCTGGGTTACACTAACCAGGTGATTCAGCTGCCTTGGTTCTCCAATCGTCCAGTTCACTTGCAGGAAAGGGAAGAGTGGAAGATCGCTGCACCACAAGACTTGCAACGACACACACACACACACCACCACCAGCTTTCAAAGGCACCTTCACCTCTCTGCGCCTGAAGCCGGGGTGTGGAGGGGACCCCTGAGCAGCTCCCTCCTGCTGTGCCTTTCAGCTACGGTTGACCGGGGGGAAGGAAACCCAAGGAGGCGGCGATAAAGGCAGCACGGCTGGTATTTACCGGGCAGGGCCTGGCAGATGGTGAGGAGGGCGGTAAGGAAGATGTGGAGGAGTCTCATCACGCCGCGGCGGAGGCTCGGGAGGCCTGGGGAAGAGTCAGAGGACAGAGTCAGAGGAGCCGGAGGTGCTCGGTCGGAGGACCGAGTCACTGCGCGGGGATGGGGATAGAGGTGGACGACTCCCTGCCCGAGGCCCTGCCCTTCGGTCCCGGAGGCAGGAGCCCTAACAGGCCCGTGCTCTCCTGCTCCCAGGCCACCGCCCCCACTGGCCTCGCCCTGCGGCCCCTGATGGGGTCACTGCACACCGAGGTGGCGTCAGGTGTAGCAGAGGCATCTGCAGGTGAGTGGGAGGCCCAGAGTCAGCTGTCCCAAAAGGAGGCCAGGACGGTCCCTCCCAGGCGAGGAAAAGGTTTTGAGGCAAGCTGACTGAAATTCCAGGGCTCCTTACAAGGAAGTTCAGGATAGCGGTGGGTTAGTTATAACCTTCCTACAGAATCCATGTTAAAGAGAGAAAAGGTGCACGGTGGTTAAAAATTACTGGAAAAAACTGACCTAGTTACCTGCAGCACTTGAATTTTCTCGTTTACTTACATTTAAATCTTATTTTTCTGAGGACACTTAGGCATTGGAAAATTTCAAATAATGAAGAAATGTAAGAGACAGAAGGCTAAAAAAACCCCGACTCTTTCGTTATAGCCACAATTCAGAGTAGTGCAGTTTTATTTCTTTACCAATAAATTTATGTAAATATTGCTTTTAAATTTAAAATATAGAATCATACTTTATAGCCAGCTCTATTGCATGTTTTCTCCCATCTAAACATTATCTTGGGAATTTTTAAGTAACTGTTCAAATATACTTGCCTGGTATATTTGTATGGCTATTCACATATGCTTAGAAATTTATATAACCCTGACCATATAACCATTTCTATAACCAATCTAGGAATTTCGCGTAAACTCCTAGAAGTGAAATGTCAACAGCCACGCACGTTCAAGTTGGAGTGGGTACCGCCCGACTGCCCACCGCAGAAACCGCTGGGCCCCTTCATGATCTTAGTGACGGGGCGAAAAGCGCCTTTGGACTGTTCACGTTCTCATCAGTGCTGCTTACTGTCAACTGTTTGAATGTTTGAAAATCATATAAAGGAATAATAATAGTTCCTGTTTGCTTTAATATATCTTTTTGAAATGATTCCTGAGGCTGGGCATTTTTAAAATTGTCAGCACAGACACTGCGCATGGCTTGCTTTTCACCTGGTGCTTGCTCATCCAGTGGACGGCGAAATTCACGGTCACTCGTGGTGATTACGCTTTGCTCTGCTCATGCTTGGTTTTCCTCAAAGACATGTGTCTTGTCTGTGTTTACCTCATTATGTCTGTGTTCGAGGTCGGTTTTGTGCTCAGTCCTTTCAGTCCCGGGGTGGCTGGCGTCTTCTCTGAAAAGCAGTGACAGCTCTGAGTTCCCAGCAGCGGCATGAAAACGGTTTCTTGCCTGGAAACGGTTTCCCCACCCAGAAATGCGCGTTTGCTGAGTCCGCAGAATTGCCCTCACTCTCTAAGCCTACCGTCTTTAAAAGCAGGCACATGACTGAGTTCATGTCTTTGTTCTCTTAAAAAAAATTATCTTACACAAGAAAGAAACAAAGTCGTGCATGACTGGAAGGAACCGGAAGGTGATCGGGCTTATCCTGATGCTTTGAGAACTGGACAATGTCTGAAGGGAACAGATGGGGCACTTTGCACACTCATCACAGTGTGCAAAGAGCCAACCTGTCAGGTCTGAAGGGCCCGGGTGGTCATAGGTGATAGCATGCATTCTCGTCGTGTGCGTGCTCTGAGCCCGCACAGCCGGGTTTGAGCGCACCCAGCTGCTAGCCCTCAGGCCGGGCAAAGCTCCCTCGCTGGCCTTTCCCAGCATTCGCTCACGACCCACTCTCACAAATGAACTTGAAGCGACTCCATTGAGTTAATAATAATTGCGCTGCTTGGTTAACTAACACTGCATACATAGACACCTCGGGTTTTACTTAAGAAAAACAATGACATGTGGATGATTAAGCCTTTCTAAAACTCAGATTTTACTTCACATATTTTTGTTCCCTTTTAACATCATGCTTTGTGTCCTTCAAGCAGCTTTATCATATAAATCCAGAGTGTGGTTTGTAACCCTATTCCTAGACATTTTGTGATTTTCTTTCTATCTGAGTCGCATTCCTCTTTCATTGTGTTACGACTGGCTACTGATTGCACAGAGAAAGGTTTTCTATAACCTATGTCACTCGCCCATGAGTTAAACTCTTGTATACATTTCTTGTGCTGACTTCTCAACGGTTTTTCTAACATGAAAATCCTAAACCTGTAATCATTGTTATTTAACCTCCTTGTTTCTGGCATAGAGGCCTATGATTCTCTTCTCTCATCAAACCGCACTGACTGATAACCACTGGCGAGCTCGGAGATCACATAACCCAACCTTCTCACTTTACAGAGGGAGAAACTACGGCCAAGCCAGAAAGGTTGCAATCATGTCACGAGGTAAGCCCATGGCAGAGGCCCCTCATTTTGCAGAACTCTGTTACCACAACACAAAAACTCCCTTATTTCCCTCCACGTCCCCTACTTTCTTCTTCCTGGTTCCTCTTGGTCCTCTCTCTTCCTGTCAAAGATTGACTTCCTTACCATCAAAAAAAAAAAAAAACAAGATTTTTCAAAAACAGTTTTAAAAGACAAATTTCTTTTTAAACAAACGCTTCAGTGGTTTTTCCTTAATGTGATTCCTTCCATAAAAACCTTTGATTTTTCTTCCAGGACGCGATGAAGGCTTTCAGCTCATGCATTAAGCACAGGCTGTAGCTTCAGCCCTGATGTCTCTGGGGCCCAGCAGCGAGTCTGTGTCCAGTGAACGACTTGAGAGAATTTTAATGACAATACAAAACCCCAGTGCCTCTGTGACCCTGGCACTGAGTCGGCCACACTTTCAGGGCCCCAAATCGACCCAACAGAATTCCAGTTAAGATTTTTGATTGGCAAGGTAGAGCCGGAGAAAACCCACTTCAGGTCAAGGAGTTGTGGCTACTACTGTTCGGAAGCCCTGAGAAAGAGCTCTGAGAGGTGCAGGGAAGGTGAGAAAAATTGCCAAATATAAGGATGGTTATGAGTAAGGATGGATGATACTTTTAAGGAACGAAAACAGGAATGAAGGGAGAAAGGGAAGCAGGAAGAGAGAGTGTGTGAAACTCTTGTAAAAATTCTCCCCACTTTTGGGGGCAACAGAGACCCTGCTGCCTGCTCCCCTGTCAGGGCGCAACCAGAAAGGCAGCCACCCCGCGAGCAGGTGGCCAGGTGGCCCTGGGTTGGCACGCCACCTCCCGTCTTCCCGAAGAGGCTGCTCTCTCCACGCCCGCTCTCTGGCCCAGGGAGAGCTCACTAACCCCGTCCCTGACAGACAGATGACGTGCACGGAATGGATCCCCTTCCTCCGACTAGGAAAACAGAATCGGCCCCTTGCCATCATGACCGCTTGGGTGCTCCGGCACCTGCCAGCCCGTCTCTCACCCGCGAGGTGACAAGGTCTGGAGAACCCCAGACTGGGTGTGTGTACGTACGCCTTGTCTCCTCGGCGTTGAGCCCTTCGGTACGAACAACTTCAGCCTAAAAATAGGAGGCACCTTCCGCAAAACCACGAACCCTGGAATTCTGAAGACACCGACCGAAGAGCCCCTGAGCTGCACTTCGCGGATGGGGCTCTGAGTCCCTCAGACACGATCGTCCGTATCTGACCCCAGCGCCGCCGTCCTGCTTCCAGGGAGAACCCACAGGGCATCCCCTGGGACTCTCAGTGTCTTACTTCAGGTCAGTTTAGGTGAACTCCTTCCTCTGACGTGCTCAGACACGTGGCGTCCGGCCCTCTGCAGCGCCCAACCATCAACCCCCAGTGCACCTGAGGGCCCGGGTCGGGCTCCGAGCCCTCCCCACGTGCGCAGCGTGCTGCCAAGTGCCCTACGCGGTCACTTCAGTTCATCCCCCAGGACGTCCTGAGAGGCAGGTCCACTCCGAGGAGCACTGTATGCTGTGGGTGAGGCCGCAGGGCCACCCGGTGGTCAAGCAGGAGCTGAACTCCAGCGGGAGTCGCGCCCTGGGCTCACAGCTCCCCTGCGACTTCGCCTCCTGAGCCTTGGCTCTGCCCCAGAAATAGTGTCAGGGAGCTCGAGGACATTATAAAGAAAAAAGTAAGGAGTGCATTGATTTTGGGTTCCTAGGTTCTAGCTCTGCCCCTGACTTACAAGTCAGGTCACCTGTCTGGGCCTCAGACCCCTCATCCGCAAAATGATAGGATGGGGTCAGGTGACATCCTGAAGTCCCCGCCTCAGTTCCCAGGTTTGTGGTTCGAGGTGCTTCTGACAGGGACTCCAGGCAGCTGGCCTTGACATCTGGCCAGCCCCAAACCAGCCCCTGTCTGCGTGCTGCCTGGTACTCACCTCCACTCCTGCCGTCCTGTGGGCAGCAGGCCGTTCACTCGGCCAATGCTCCATTCTCGGTCCTCGGTCCTGGAAGTGACACTGACGGCCTGCCCGTGCTCTGCTCACACCGCGGCTACTGAACCATAGAAACCACTGCGTGGGCAATTCAGATGAGCGGCATGCTCCTGGCAGCCGCCCAAGGACAAGGACAGGCACCCCACTGGCACTGGGAAATGGGCTCGGCTAGTAAGCAGGGGTCTGAAGGGGCAGGAGCCCACTGAGACGTCAGAGTGCGGAGCACGGCCCTGCCCCCCAGGGAAGGTCATGGGAAGTGACTCTCCCACCAAGAATGTGTCAGAGCAGTGACCAGAAGGGAGAGGGGAGGGAATTTCAGGGGAAAGGGGAAGGGTTTGCAGGAACAAGTATAAAGGACACATGGACAATAACAAGGGGGGGGAGGAAACAGGAGGGAGGTGTGGAGGGCTGTCGGGGTGGGCCGGGAGGGGAGTAAAAGGCAGAAAACTGTACTTGAACAACAATGAAAACTAAAAAAAAAAAAATATGTCAGAGAATCAGGTGCCACCTTAGACGGCACCCAGGTCCGCATCGTTTCGTGTCCCCAGGGCGGGGGACTGAGACCAGGAGAACTGGAAGACCTGGAGAAGATGAGAAGAATGGGGGAAATGTGTGGAACTCCGAAACTCTGCAACTGTGGGAACTTGCTGGGCCCGAGACGGTAAACTAACGAGAACTGTAAGATCCCTGTGCAGGAGGAGGTACAGCAGAAGGAAGCAGTCTAGCAGTCTAGGAACAAAAAGAAGCAAGATGTGTGCGGGGCACAGACACAAAGAAAGCACCGAGTGACAACGAGGCCTGGCCTTTCCCCGCGGAGCCAGCAGTGAGTTCAGAGGGCGGTGGAGAGGGAGGCGGGTCCCTCTGCTGGGAGGAGGGGCGGAGTGCTGTGGACAGACCCCGGAGGGTCCTCCATCAGAGTGCCTTTGACATCAGCGGCTCGGGCTGAAAACCCCACGTCTTGTTCAGAAATAAGATTAAACTGTGCTCACAAAAGCAAATAGCCCACTATTCCCTAACTACACGTTTTTATCTTCTATTTTCTAATTTTTCTTCTTATTTTTAACCAGACCTCTAGGAAAGAGGATGGTGGTTGAAGCGCCCCCCCCCTTCGTGAAAACAGAGGCCCACAGAAAAGCTGCATCTAACAAGGCTGCCTGCAGCCCTGTGGAGCTCGGAGCCCCACCCCCGAGGCTGCTTCTAATGGCCATGTGGCCATCAACGAGTTACTTAGCCACCCCCTGCTGTACCATGTTCGTTTCTAAAGTGCATGATGGAACCTACTCCACCAGGTCGACGCCAAGGTTAAAGGGGCTAAGCCAATAAGAGACGTGCTGGAAAAAGGAGGTGCTTGAAAACGTCAATTGGACCAATGGTGGAGGCTGGGCCGGGGTGCTGGGCCGTGCATGGCAGGGGAGGCCAGGGAGGGGACACTTTGGCAACCGCTGTGCCCCACGGTGCTCTCCGTGGGCATTGCCACCACGCTCCATTCACGGCCACGTCAAAGATCTGGCAAGGCACTTCCCGTTGCTCTCAGCTTCATCACTCAGACAAAACATCAGGGTCCTGGCCCTGCCCGGTGTGGCCCAGTGGTTGGAGCATTGTCCCACAAAGCGAAAGGCTGTTGGCTTGAGTCTGGGTCACAGGTGTGGTCCTTGGTCAGGTGCATGCAAGGGGCAACCAATCCATGGTTCCCTGTCACATCAGCGTTTCTCTCCCTTTCTTTCTCCCTCTCTTTCCTCTGTAAATAAATAAACGTGTGTTTTTTAAGAAGATATTGGTGTCCTAGAGTCCCTCTTTCTTGGGACTACCCCCAGCTAGCCAGAAGGAAGCCAGGAGGTAGTCAGAAAATAGAGTGCCAACCACTCCGTGGAAACGGCCACAATGCAAGCTAGCCATGTCATACAAAAAGTAAGGCAAAAAAGAGAAAATAAAGGAGAAGGGACATGCCCAGACACATGGAGTTTATGGTGGAAGCGTGATCTTGGAGATGGAAGACAAGGCACAAGGTACACGGAGGGAAATGCTTGTTCCAGGCCTTCCGGCTGAACCTTGCCCCGAGTCTCCCAGTGGGCTCCACGGAAGGCAGGGTCCCTGAGTGATGCTGGGTCACCCGGAACCTGAAGCCTGGGCTGCAGGAGCAGGTAGAGCTCACCTGAAGGCCCAGGGAAAGGAGGGGAGAGTTCGGGCATGTCAGGCACCAAGCCAGACTTGGGAGGAAAGGTGGTGGGACACAGCATCAGCAGCTTGAAGTCACCCAGAGGAGGAAAGTGTCTCCTCCCAGGTCCTCTCAGAGCAGAGCCAAGAAATCTTAACCAGCCACGTCCGGCCATTCAGCGTCTGGCTCCTTCTCTCACCTTGTCTACCATTTGCAGTGTCCAAGGCCCCCCTGCATGCACACACAGACACTTACACACAATACACCACAGAAAAACATCCATACACCTGCACCCATGTATGCAGAACGCACACACGCATGTGTGTGAGCACACACTCACCTTAAGCGTCACTCCAGGCTTGTCTAATAGACTCATTTCGTCTCTGCAGCCGAAGCTGCTGAGGTCCACATGCAGGGGCCATGAAACCAGAGTCTCTAGCACCCAAGGGGTCCTTGGAGAGACCAATCCAACGCCTTCAGTTTCCAGAAAAAAACTGAGACTGCAAAAAGCCACTTCCTAATGATTCCACGGCTAGTCTGTGGCACACCTGGGACACCTCTCCTGGAGTACATAGTGTGGATTCCCCGAAGAGGGACAGCCCCATCCCAGCCCTCGGCCCCCAGGCTGCTGCAGGGCTGGGAGCCAGTCGGCTCCTCCTCCGAGTATCCTAGAGACGAAGGCAGCCAGGGGCTCTTGGGCGCTTGTGAGGGGTGGCCTCCTGGGGGTCAGCCCCTGATGGACAGCAAGGGCCTGGGTGTCCGTGGGGACAGAGGAGACCCCAGCCCTGTGTGGGCGAGAGTCTGAGAAATGCAGAGTTGGAGTCAATGAGCTTTGGGAGAAGGGGGTGCCCTCAGGTGGGAGGTGCAGGTGTGTGCCGTGTGTGTGTGTGCCGTGTGTGCGCATGCCGGGTGTGCGTTGCTAGGGTGTGACAGCTCAGGCCTTTGATGATTCTGAGATCCAGCCGCTTCACTCAAATGCCGCTCTTCATGACGACAGAGGCCCACCTGGATGGCTCTCCCCGCTGCCCATCTGCCGGGCCATTATTAGCAGCAATAACCCAGGCACCCTCCGCGTCATCTGTTCTCTGGAACAACACGTAATACAGAACCGCTTGTCCAAAACCACACCTGCTGACATCCTAAGATATCCAGTCTTCCCTTCAGGCTAATTCCCTTGCACCACACTTCTCCGCACGGCCAAGTTCATTCCCAGGCTGAACTCTTAAATCCTAGGTCAGGGGATTCATGCCCCTCTTGGCAGAGTCCGTATTTCAGATGTCTGTGTCTTGTCTGTCCTGGCCCCAAGAGAGCAGAGGCTAGATCAGACTGGAGGGAAGGACAAGGAACATGTTCCCCCGGGTTGTGCTATAAATGACAGCAGATTGATGTCAGGACATTAGACAACACATGACTTGCTAGAGTAAAAAAAAAAAAGGCAATAGAAAAGACTTTTATTCTAAATTATCATTTACAAACACGTTATAAAACTACAATTGTTTTCCATAATGTCAGTCAGTAGAAATTTCCAGAAACAGTTCTCCCTGAGAGAAGTCGAGCGAAACGGTGCTCGGCTCCAGGGATGCCTAGTGTCCCGGGCTGAGCGGGCAGCCAGCGGAGCGGGGCCGGGCCGGGAGCACAGGAACGGGCTCCCCGGCCTGTTCGGGTTCGCGGGCAAAGCCCAGCCGAGCCTGTCTCGTCAGGGCCTGGCTGCTGATCCTTTAAACCGTGTGCTTCTCTTTCCGGATATGCCACTCCCCTTGCCCAACAAGGCCCACCAAGGATGAAGAGAGGCTGAAGATCAAATTTTCTCCAATAAATGGGGACTCCGGGTGACCAAGCCCACAGCGGAATCCGTGGGGAAAGGGTAAACCCAGAAAAAACCTTTCCTCAAACCCCCCGCAGTCGTCACCTCTAGAGATGCCGAGAGAAGACGCCAGACATGAGAACTGGGGAGCGGCACCAGGAGTCCAGGAGCAAAGCCCAGGGAGGGACTGCAGCGGGGGCGGGTAGAGAAGGTATAAAACCCCGAGAGCTGACATCGCCCACACAGCAAATTCAGCCCCAGGTCAGCCTGCTCCTTTGCCGGTTCCACGGGGATTGCTGCAAACCCGCCTCCAGCACTTACGTTGCCCCAACCACTCTTCCAAGTGCTTGGGTCGTGGTCATGATCCTGAAAATAATAAAATAACCACAACAATATTGACTGCGGTTTTGTCTCATGCCAGGCATCGCCCTAAGCACATGACATGGTTCTTGACCTTGTTTCCTCACAACAACACAATGAAGATGAAGAAAACGAGGGACAGAAAGGGGAGTTCTGTCCCCAGTGAGAAGGCACAAAGTGGGAACAAGAAGCCAGTCGAGCTAATGGCCTTCCTGACATTTTGGTGGCGTCTCCTATTCGTTACAATTCCTGACTTTGTCTTTCTCGTTGAAGAATAAATTCCCTTCCTCGTCATCTTCCTTCTACTGTGTCTGTCTTGTTTAGTGTTCTATGTATCTGCCCCTCACTGGGAAACATACCCATTAAACAGGTACTTAAACAAGTGTTTCCTTAGTAATAGGAAGAGTTAGTATTTGTCCATGATCCCACTTTCTTTCTTGATCATTTCCCATGTTTTGTTGAATTTATTGGGAATTTTGATTCCAAATGGCAACTCGTGTATTTTTTTTTAACTTTGTTCAGGAACCTTTTCTTAAAAACAACCTTAAAATGTATAGCCTTATCAAACATTAATGAAAACATGAATGAAAAGAATACAAATGTTTCACTAACTTGATTTCCAACTGTCTTTTTGATCTCATGTCTTCTTATTTGGGCCATTTTTTAAATTTTGTTGGCATGAGGGTTTGAAAAATATTTTTCAGAAGGGACTCGTGCAGATCAAATTTTCTGAGTTCGTGAACATATGAAAACAGACCATTTGTCCCTAAAAAATGTGAATTATAAAAAATAGCTCCGCATTCAAACAATTTCCTTCCAAAGTGTCAATTACACCATCCAGTAATTGGAGCCGGGCGACGGGTCATGCCCATCTGGTGGCAGCCCTGTCTGCCCCAGTTTTACAAGTTCACAGGCATGTCTGATGTCTTTGAGGCACTCTGGTGCCCGCACACGTATCTTCACAGGTAAACACTCAGGCAGACGAGAGACAGGGAAAGCTGCCATGTGCCGAATAGGCCTCCGTCATCACCTATGAACACCAGCATGAGCACCACGCAAACAGGTGAGACGTGGGAGAGAGCAGCCAGGTCAGCACATCAAAGAAACTCTGGGCAACAACAGGTGGAGCTGGGACAGGCCACCGGCCACCACCTGTTCACACACTGAGTGCACGCCTTCTTTCTTTCCTCCAGCTCGTCCATAAATACAGGCTGCCTGAGCCTTCCTCACCACTCCATTCTTTCCTCCCACCTGACTCAGACCTCCAGGGACCCTCAGCCATGAGGACTCTCGCTCTCCTCGCTGCCCTTCTCCTCTTGGCCTTCCAGGCCCGGGCTGAGACCCTGCCAGAGAAAGCTGACCAGGTTCCTGCTCAGGACCAGCCTGGGGCCGAGGACCAGGACCTGTTTGAGGATGAGGACCGGGAGGTGGCCATCTCCTTCCCAGAAGGGGGACGCCTAACTCGACAACTAGGTGAGACACTGCCCACATGCTATTGGGGTCTACACCCATTGCAGGGGCTTGTTAGAGGCTGAGTGGAATCTGGGCTCAAAAACGGGTGTGTGCATGAGGTGGGGTGAGCAGCAGGTACCAGAGTTAAAAAGGAGAATTGTAGAGTGTGGGTCAGGAAATGACCAGGGATGTGATAGTCGAGAATCAGAGAAAAAGCGTGACCCTGCATGAGCACACAGAGCCAGTAAGATGTCTCGGGACTTACGACAAACGCTGAATCCTTCCACCTGAACCAGGCAGGTACTGTCTACAATGAGTAGACTCCTTGCCTCTCAGAAGATCTCCATGAAGTCAGATGAGCCTCTCCTCCCCATCCCCTCCACCCCTGGGCCTGACCCTTCCCTTCCCTCTGCAGGATTACCGCCATTTGCCGTATGTAAGTGCCGATTCAGACTCTCCTGCAAGACCTTCGAGCGTAACCTGGGGAGTTGTGGAAAACTGGGTCTCTCCAAGCTTTGCTGTAAATGAGCTTTGTGGACCAAGACCCAGAGCACTGTGGGATTCCACTGAAGACCTGGACAAGCGTTTAATTTAGTCTTTCTATCTGTACCTTTTCTTCTTCGTCTCTCCAGAATAAACTTCAAGCATTAAACTTATTGTTTGGATTTTTTTTTGTCGTTCCATAAGGCTTCTTTGTGTGGTTCACTTGTACAGAGAATTCTGTCCTGAACAGTCTACACGAAGGGGACCGGCCTTTGTGTCCCACAATTCGAGCATCACACAGAAAAAAAAAACAAATAGGAAAAAATGAACATGATCATTGATTAATATAATTTTAACCTACAAAATTTGACCCATTCATAATAAAACAAAGAGGGAAGTTTCTATGGCGTGTCCAAAATATTTTGTGGGTTCCAGGAAAGGAAGACCCAATGGACCGTGGTACTTGTTCCTTGATTTTAAGACATGGGTGGGCATCCATATGTATTGATAGTTTCTCATAATAAGCAGGGGTTTCCATTACATATATATTTCTCTTAGCTATATGAACAAGATGGGGTGAACTGATGCTTCACTGTGCCACCAACAGAAAAAAGGAAGAACTATAAGGTCTGTCCAGAAGGTATCCAGTCATGTACTATGAAAAATAGAGACATTTATTGAAGAAGATACAAGAAACATTGTACACAGGACAATGATACCTCAGTCTCCTCCAAGGTAGGCACCTTGGGACCTCACACAGTTCTCCCAGTCACCATCAGCTACCCTGTTGTCTTTTCCTGAATCTCAGCAAAAGTCGGAAATCTCATCCCTTTCAAAGGTGATTTTAGTGTTGGGAAAAGCCAGAAGTCACAGGGCACCAAGTTTGGGCTATAGAGGTGGTGGGTCATCTGGGTGAGTTGGTGTTTCATCAAAAAACTGTGTAAGTGATACATAAGTGGGCGTGTTGTTGTAATGAAGGTGCCAATCACCAGTGGCCCATAGCTGTGGCCTTCTGAATCATGAAAATAGTTTCCACAGAGGAGTATTCGAGCTTAATGCAAAATTGGATACAGATTCATTGCTCTACTCACTCAGTCATTTTAAATGCAATGGCCACATACTACACATGCTCACTCAACGGTGTCTACCACCCCCACTGACTAGTACAATGAAGTAATCATTGTTCATGAATGCACAATCCAATCCACTCTGCTTGGCTGTCAGGTTATAGCAATGTCATGCAAACCATTCTTCTTATATTGACAATGGCTCAACTTTTTCCAGACATGCCTTGTACACCAAAAACAGAATACACTGACCAGTATCTGTGGCCTCAAATAACTACCAGACAAAAGAAGTTTCCAGAAGCTTCTCAGTATAGGTGGTCATGCCCAGTGACCAGTGAAATAAATGGTCCCCTCTAGACTACTCCTATGTCCAGTGAAATATTTTGGTCTCAACTTTTTCTCTAAACAGACCAAGTCTACTAGTTACAATAAACGGGTACTGACTTAAATAGAATTCTAGGAAGACATGATGTGCTTTTAATAATGCCAGTAACAGGCCTTTCACACCTGAATGGAAGGGAGTGTGCTATGAGTCAAATGAGACTCACAGGAGCCTGATTTCCGGGGGGCAAGCATCCCTCCATGCCCCTTTCATGGCCTCACAGTGGCCACAGACATCCTCACACCCACAACCTTGGGTTCTGCCCTGCAACAATGTTGTACTGAGGGCACCTTGGATTTGATCTTTGTCCTGTGGCCACTTCTATTTTGAGAACTTTCCCCTGAAAACACAAAGGATGTCAAATAGATTTATTTAAAGCTTTACTATCAACCTCCCTGAGACTCTCCCCTGTGCCACCAGGATACATGAGCACTACCCTTTCCAAATTTTAGTGGGAAAGAACACACAACCCAGAAATTACCCCCCCAAATTTGGCACTGCATAAAAATCCAAAGTATCTGGGTAAACAAGAAAAAGAACCAAAAGAGAAGTGACAATTTCTGGAAATAATTTGTGCTACTCGGACAAGAAGCTTATTTCCTGAGTTTAAAATTAAACCTTACTAATCAACAGTAAAAAATCAGCCAATGCTTTAGTTTCCCAAAGGGATGCTAACACAGAGAAGACACTCGGGGAGAATAACACCAGTCCACGTCAGCGATGAGCACCGACTGCCCCTGACACTTGAGAGAAACAGAGCCCGGACTCCACTGTGTTGCAGTTCTTCCCTGTCAGGATGGGAAAGACCTCAACCCTCACAGTCCAGGGCTCAGACTGCTTCCAGGCACCACCATGACCCAAGGACCCCCACCACAGTGGCTGTAGAAAGTCAGGAGCATGGGCATCCTGGGAGCTGGGTGGCATGGCTCATTCGTGACCTCAAGGGCAGGATGAGTCATGGACCTTCCTGCTCCACCACCCACATCAAGTCACTGCCCTCTTCATGGTGAAAATACAATGAGCCACATTGCCAACCGTTCCAAACCTCCAAGTACGAATGGAGAGGAAATATATATAATAATAGCATAGCACAAATGATTTAACAGTAAATCATTTTATTATTTAAAAATGCGGCCCTTCCCAGGGTTTACATTTTATTAGAACTCTGTTTGTTGGCCACCCTCACCTGCAAGAGAGTGTTAGAGCTCAAGTGCATTGCTCACAAAGCACACTGCTGCCCACATCCCAGACAGGAAGGAAGGATGAAGGAAGTTGGGGGCAATCACGGGGCCTTTGAAACACCTTCCACTGTCCATGGGACATGCTCGGGTTCCTGTATTCTGCTGAGTGATGTGGGAATGACCTCTACAGGGGACAATAAATTAATGTCTTTTAAATGTATGAGATGTTTTCTTCATCACCAAAATGTCTACATCTAGAAATTTATCTAAAACACAGTCACAAATACGCAAGATGCTGTACGTAAAAAGATACACATTGCCACTATGCTTGTAACTGCAAAAATTCATAAAGAAAGAAACTGTAAAAATTTAATAATGCTTTACAATAAGAAAAAGTTAAATGATGGCATATAAAATACTGAGATGTACAACACTGTAGCAGCCGTGAAGCTGTTCTGAATGTGCTGGAGTGATAGTGTTCCAGTTGGGCCCCAGCTGAGTGAGGAAACCCAGCACCTGGGGACCTGGTGGTTCCTGCGGGAGGAAGAGGTGCAGGGGCAGGAGGGACACTGGTATTTCCACTCCTCTCTAGGCTACACGCTGAATGTTGTTCTTTGTGAATGAATTTTGTTTAAAGACCAAGAATTCCAAAAAGGAGCAGCCACAACTTCATTGTGTTGGTTGTTTCTCCACAAGGACACAAGTGACAGGTGAGTGGGGCACACAATGTGCCCACGTCCCACTAACATCCTGAAACAAGCCCGTCCTTCACTTTACTCTGACCAGCTCCTTCCCTCTGTCCCACCTCACCTGAGCCCAAGTCACTGTCCCCTCCCCCCTAGGAGCCACCACCCAGGACCTGAAAAGCTCCCTCAAAGGGCAGTGATGCCCCTGAACATGTAGGAGGACCACCTTACTCCCTAGAACCACCTGGACCCAGGGTCGGGGCTTAGGAAATAAGGGCCCAGGAACAGGAAGAAAGGGCCTTCATCCCCTGATACACCCTCCAAGAGCACGGCTCCCTGTCCTCTTTGACCATCACAAGGTAAACACCCAGGCAGATGGGAAACAGACACCACACCAGGGCCCTTATCACCACTATCAACTTGAGTCAAGTGTGGACACTCAGCTCACACACGTGTGCTCTGATGAAGGGGCAGGAGCAGGAGCATCAAAGGGACGTTGAGGGTGACGGCAGCCTTGGCCCCAGGCCACCCAAAGGCACAGCCTCTCCCTCTCACTGGCTGAGAGTCTCCAAGACTCCTCCCATCCCACCTATAAGTACAGGCTGCCTGGGCCCTCCTCACCACTCCATTCTTTCCTCTCACAGGACCTGGACCTCCAGGGACCCTCAGCCATGAGGACCCTCGCTCTCCTTGCTGCCCTTCTCCTCCTGGCCTTCCAGGCCCAGGCTGAGACCCTGCAAGAGACAGCTGACCAGGTTCCCACCCAGGAGCAGCCTGAGGTCGAGCACCAGCACCAGCCCGGGGATGACGACCAGGATGTGGCCGTCTCCTTCGCAGAACATGAACGCTTTGCTCGACAGCTTGGAGGTGACACAGCTGCCCACATGTACCTGGGGTGGCAGCACATGACAGGGCCTTGTTGGTGTGGAATTGGGACAGAGGCACAGAATGAAGTATATGGATGAAGCTGAGGGGAGATAAGTACCCCAAGTTCAGGAGGAGCTTGAGGAACAAGACACAGGATAGAAGCATGTGGGACATAGACCAGGATCACAGAAAAATCACAATCCTGGATGACCACACACAGCCAGTAACATTTCCTGAGATTTAGGACAGACTTGTGAATCCCTTCACCCTGGCCAGGCAGGTACTGTCCACAGTGAGTAGACATGTCACCTCTCAGAAGATCTCCATCAGGCTGGCTGAGCCTCTGTTCCCTGTTTCCTTCCCCCATGAGCCTGACCCTGCCCTCCCTCTTCCCTCTGTAGGCCTTCGGAAGAAAACAATATACTGCTCATGTGTCCGTGGGGGCTGCGTACCCCCTAGCCGTCCCTCTGGAACCTGTACGATCTATGGCCGTCGATACACATTCTGCTGTCGCTGAGCTTTGTGGACTGAGACCCACAGTACAGCAAGACCCCACTGAAGACCTGGACACGCATTTAGTCTTTCTACCTGTGCCTTTTCTTCTCTCTCTCTCCATAATAAACTTCAAGCATTAAACTCACTGTTTGGCTTTTTTCTTTCATTCCATAAGACTAACCACGTGGTTCTCTTGCACAGAGAATTCTGTCCTCAATGGTCTACACTAAGGTGACCAGCCTTTGCATCTCAGGGATGCAGCACCTGGGCATCTCCTGGCAAAAACAAACCAGCAACGAGGAACAGAATTCTTAAGATGATTTTAATGGCCAAAGTTCAACCCATTCATAGTGGAACTCAAAAGAAGGAAGTTTCTTTGGAGAGTCCAAAATGTTTCATTGAATTTTGGGAAGGTGGATCCAATGAACCGTGGTACATGTTCTTTGATTCTAAGTTATGGGTGGGCATATGTACGTTGGTATATTTTCTCATTTTATGTAAGAATTGCAGTTACTTGAATGTTTTCCCTAGCTATATCAACAAGTTACTCTTTTCAGTAAATGGTGTTAAAGCAATTAGACAGATATGTGCAAGAAAATGAAACTAGGCAACCTTCTTATGCCAACACAAGAATAAACTCAAAATGGATTAAAGACTTACATATTAGACTCAAAACCTGACATTCCTACAAGAAAACATAGGCAGTAAAATATCAGACATTGCTCATAGTAATATTTTTTCTGGTGCATCTCCTTGGTCAAGGGAAACAAAAGAAAAGAATAACTGAGGGGGCTATATCCAACTAGAAACGCCTTGCACAGAAAAAGAACCATCTAAAAAATACAAGAATGACCCACTGAATGGGAACACATATTTCCTGATAACATCTGCTAAGAGGTTGATATTCAAAATATAGAAAGAAATTATAAAGCTCAATATAAAAAACACAAGCAATTAAAAAACAAACCAATGAAAAATGGGCAAAGGACCTAAAAAGACACTTCTCCAAAGAGGACATAGAGGGTCAACAGATACTTGAAAAGATGCTCAATGTCACTAATCATCAGAGAAAGGCACATTGAAACCACAATCAAGTCCATGGGTCACACGTGTAGGTTCTTTGGCTTCTACTTTTCCGATACTATTCTTAACATCCCTGTCTATTTTGTACCTACCACTTATGCTTCTTCTTCCCTGTCCCTTTTTCCCCATTCTCTCCTCTCCGCCTCCCTGCTAATACCTCTCCATGTGATCTCCATTTCTGTGATCCTGTTCCTGTTCCAGTTGTTTGCTTAGTTTGTTTAGTTCTTGCTTTTTTAGGTTTGGTTGCTGATAGTTGTGAGTTGTTTTCATTTTACTGTTCATATTTTTTATCATTTTTTTGGAACTAAAGGGGTGGATTGCTGGTGGGAGGGGGGATGCCGGGTGGAGGGTAGTAAAGGGTGTATGGGAGTGGGGAAATGGGACAACTGTAGTAGCTCCAGGTGAGTGAGGAAACACAGGACACGGTGACCTGGTGATTTCTGCAGAAAAGATGGGGGACAGGGACAGAGGGGAGACTGGTGTCTCCACTCCTCTCTCTTCTACATTTAGAATTCTGTGGTTTGGGCACAAATCATTTCCAGTTTTAAAAAATGAACACTTTCAGAAGGGAGCTGCAGGGATGTAGTTGTCTTTGCTTTCTCCAAAAGGGACACAAGTGACCGCTGAGTGGGTTACACAATGTGCACACGTCCCACTGACGTCCTGAAACAAGCCTGTCCTTCACTTTGCACTGACCAGCTCCTTCCCTCTGTCCCACCTCACCTGAGCCCAAGTCACTGTCCCCTCCCCCACAGGAGCCACCACCCAAGACCTGAAAAGCTCCCTTACAGGGCAATGAGGCCCCTGACCATGCAGAGGGACCCCCAACCCCATTGGGAAGGTCTGGGCTCAGACGAGAAGGGCCCAGCAGCAGGAAGAAAGGGTCTTCATCCCCTGACTCACTCACCAAGAGCACGGTTCCTTGATCTCTTTGACCATCACAAGGTAAACATCCAGGCAGATGGGAAACAGACACCACACCAGGGCCCTTATCACCACTGTCAACTTGAGTCAAGTGTGGACACTCAGCTCACACACGTGTGCTCTGATGAAGGGGCAGGAGCAGGAGCATCAAAGGGGCTTTGAGGGTGACGGCCGCCTTGGCCCCAGGCCACCCAAAGGCACAGCCTCTCCCTCTCACTGCCCAGGAGTCTCCAAGACTCCTCCCATCCCACCTATAAGTACAGGCTGCCTGGGCCCTCCTCACCACTCCATTCTTTCCTCTCACAAAACCCAGACCTCCAGTGACCCTCAGCCATGAGGACCCTCGTTCTCTTCGCTGCCCTTCTCCTCCTGGCCTTCCAGGCCCAGGCTGGGACCCTGCAAGAGACAACTGACCAGGTTCCCACCCAGGACCAGCCTGAGGTCGAGCACCAGCACCAGCCCGGGGATGAGGACCAGGATGTGGCCGTCTCCTTTACAGGAGAGGAACGCATCACTCGGGAGGCTGCAGGTGAGATACCCACACATATGCTATTAGAGTCTCTGGGCCGTTGGAGAGGCTTGTCAGAGGGGACATGGATTCTGGGTTCAAAATGGACTGTGTGATGAGTTGGAGTGAGGAGGAGGTTAACCATGCTCAGGAGGAACTTGTTGGGCAAGGCAGAGGATCCAACAATGTACATGATACCCTAGGATCAGAGAAAGTCATTATCCTGCATGTCCACAACACAGAGCCAGTAAGATGTCTTGGGATTCATGACAGACACTGAATCTATTCACCCAAACCAGGCAGGTACCATGTACAGTGAGTAGACCCTTCTCCTCTTAGAAGATCTCCAAGAGGCGGACTGAGCCTCTACTCCCTGTCCCCCTTCCACCTTGAGCCTGACCCTTCTCTTCCCTTTGCAGGCCTTCCCGTACTAAGAATCTGCAGATGCCAACGGGGACTCTTCTGCAAGCCTACAGAACGTCCCTCTGGAAAGTGTTCAATCCGTCACCGGAGATACACACGATGCTGTCGATGAGCTCTTGGGAAGGGGTCCAAAACACTGCATTGTTCACGGAAGACCTTTAGTCTTGTACCTGTACCTTTTCTTTTCCCTAGCTCCAAAATAAACCTCAGGCATTACACTGTTTAAGGTGGTTTTCCATAAGGGTTATTTGCGTGGTTCACTTGTACAGAGAATTCTTTCCTGATGGTCTACATGAGGGTGACCAACCAGCTTTTGCGTCTCAGGGATGCAACATGGGAGCATCTCACGGCAACAGCAAGCCAGCAAAAATGAACGTCACTCTTTATTAGGACAATTTTAACCTGCAAAGTTACATCCATTCATAGTGAAACTCAAAAGAGACAGGTTTCTGGGGAGCGCCCAAAATGAATTGTTGATGCCCTGAAAGGGGGATCCGATGGCCTGTGTCATTTGTTCTTTGATATGAAGATAAAGTGTGGGCATTGATACAAATGGATATTTTCTCATGACAAGCAGGCATTAGAGTTACCTACATATTTCTCTTAGTTGCATTAACAAGATAATGGGAACTAATGCTTCAGTATGTCAGCAACAAGGAAAATGTAAGAACTACCCCCAAAACAGAATATTCTGTCCAGTGCCAGTGGCCTCAAAAATGACCAGAGAAAGGGGGAGTCCAGAAGCTGTTCTATATAGATGGTCATGCACAATGACCAGTGAAAATCGGGTCCCCATTTGGCCTTAAAAGATAGTTGCAATGTCAACTAAAAAAGAAATTGTTCTAGCCCTGGCTGTTGTAGCTCAGTGGATCGAACCAAAGTGTTGCAGGTTCGATTCCCAGTCGGGGTACATGCCTGGGTTGCAGGCCATGACCCCAGCAACCACACATTGATGTTTTTTTCTCTCTCTCTCTTTCTCCCTCCCTTTCATCTCTAAAAAATAAATAAATAAAATCTTTTTTAAAAAATGTGACTTCTAAAAAAAAGTTGTTCTCAACTCTCTCTCTCTCGATTGAATCTACTAGTCATAATAAACCACTACTAATTTTAACAAAGTTTTAGCAATAAATGGTATGTTTTTCCTAGCAAAGGTCTTTAGATCCTTGGTTAAATTTTTTATTGGGTATTTTATTCTTTTCAAAGAAATTATAATTGGGATTGTTTTCTTCGTTTCCCTTTCTGAGAGTTCCTTATTGGTGTAAAATAATACAACTGATTTGTGGACCTTTATTTATATCCTGCTACTTCACTGACTTCATGTATCAGTCCTAGTAGTTTTTGTTGCAATCTTTGGGGTTCTCTATTTACAGTATCAGGTCATCAGCAAATAATGCCAATTTTCCAAAATTGGTTGCCTTGTATCACTTTCTTCGTATCTGATTGCCGTAGTGAGCACTTCCAGTAAGAGAGGTGAAAGTGGACATCCTGTGTGTCCCCATTCTTAAGGGGAACGCTTGTAGTTTTGGCCCATAGAGTATGATGTGGGCTGTGGGTTTGTCATTACGGCCTTTATTATGCTGAGGTGTGTTCCCACTATTTCCACTTGGCTGAGAGTTTTTATCAGAAATGGTTGCTGGATTTTACCAAATGCTTTCTCTGCATCTACTGATATGACCAAGTGGTTTTTGTCCTTCATTTGGTTTGTGTGGTGCACCAAGTTGATTGATTTGCAGATGTTGTATCAACCTTGCATCCCTGGAATAAACCCCACTCAGTCATGCTGCATGTTCTTTTTCATGTATCACTGCGTTTTGTTGCTATTATTGAGTTCAGGTTTTAGCACCTACATTCATCAGAAATACTGGGCTATAGTTTTCTTTCTTTGTAGTGTCTTTATCTGTTTTGGAATTAGGATAATGCTGGCCTCAGAAAATGAGCATGGGAGTCATCCCTCCTCTTGAATCTTTGGAAGAATTTGAGAAGGATAGGTGTTAGCTCTTCTTTGAGTATTTAATAAAATTCACCTGTGAAGCATTCTGGCCCAGGGCTTTTGTTTGTTGCCAGTTTTTTTTTATCACTTCTTCAGTTTCACTGTAATCTTTCTATTCAGATTCTCTGATTCTTCCTGATTTAGTTTTGGCATACTATATGTTTCTAGGAATTATCCATTTCATCCAGATTGCCCAATTTGTTGGCATGTAGTGGTTGATAATATTTTCTTACAATCCTTTGTATTTCTTTGGTGTCAGGTGTTACATCTCCTCTTTCATTGCTAATTTTATTTATCTGGGTCCTCTCTCTTTTTTATGAGTCTGGTTAAATGTTTTGTCAACCTTGTTTATATTAAGACACTGAAGAATATACAAATATGTGGAAGCATGTACAGTGTACATGGATAGGAAGAATTAACATCACTAAAATGTCCATACTAACCAAAGCCATCTACAGATTCAAGCAGGTCCTATCAAGATACCACTGGCATGTTCCATAGAACTAAAACAAATGTTCAATAAATTCATATAGAATCACAAAAGACCCTGAATCACCACAGCAATCTTTAGAAAGAACAACAAAGTTGGAAGAATCACACAACTAATATCAAACTATGCCACAAGACAAGGGTAATCAAAACAGCATACTGGCATAAAGACAGACCTAAAGATGAATGGAACATAATAGAGGGCCCAGAGACACACCCACATCATATTATATTCAATTAATATTGGGCAAACGAAGCAAAACCCTGAATGGACTAAACATAGTCTACTCAATAAACAGTGTTGGGGAAATTGGAAAGATATGTGCAAAAAAAAAAAACTAAACCACTTTCTATGGACACAAAAAATAAACTTAAAATGGATTAAAGGCTTAAATGTTAGACTCAAAATTATAAAAATCCTAGAAGAAAACATAGGCAGTACAATCTCAGACACTTCTCATAGTGATATTTGTTTTGGTAAACCTTCTCGGCCAAGGGAAACAAAAGAAAAAATGACAAAGGGGACTGTGTCCAGCTAGAAATGTTTTGCACAGAAAAGGAAACCATCTACAAAATACAAAGACAACCTACCGGATGGAAGCACGTATTTCCCAACAACATCTGGTAAGAGATCGATATCCAAAATTTATAAAGAACTTACAAAACTCAATAGCAAAAACACAAACAACCCAATTACAAATAGGCAAAGGACCTGAATAGACTCTTCTCCAAAGAGGACATACAGATGGCCAACAGACATATGAAAAGATGCCCAACGTCACTAGTCATCAGAGAGATGCCAATAAAAACCACAATGAGATATCGCCTCATATCTGTCAGAATGGCCAGCACTAATAAATCAACAAACATCAAATGCTGGTAAGGCTATGTATGGAGAAAAAGGGAACGCCAGTGAACTGTTGGTATTAATACAGACTGTTGCAACCTCTCCGGAAAGATGAATGGAGCTTCCCCCCAGAATAAAAATGGAACTGCCCATTGACTCAGCAATCCCACTTCTGGGAATGTAATCAAAGAAATCCAAAACACTAGCTCAAAAGAATATACACAACCCATGTTCATAGCAGTGTTATTTACAATAACTAAGATATGGAAACATCCTAAGTGCTCATCAGTAGATGAGTGGGTAAGAAAATAAACAAACTGTCGTACATTTACACAATGGAACACAACCGAGCAGTAGAAGGAAGGAATTCTTACCTTTTTTGACACCATGGATGGAACTGGACTAGATTAGCCTAAATTGAATAAGCCAGTCAATGAAAGACAAATACCACATGATCTCACTTATAAGTGGCATCTAATGAACAAAATAAACGAACGACCAAAACAGAATGGGAGGCATAGAACGCAGTACAAGCTGATAGCTGTAACAGAGGACAGGGAGGAGAGGAAAGAGAGGATCTGCGAAAGAACATGTGTGCAGGGCTCACGGACAGGAACGACATCGGGGGACTGAAGTGAGGGGTGGGCAGCGTGGAGGGGAGTAAAGGGGGAAATACCGAGGTAAAAGTAACAGCACAAACAATGAAAGACTTAAAGAAAAAAGAAATAATGAAACTTCAGATTTCATGAGCAATACCAATAGTTCAATGAGGACGTGTATCAAACACTATGATAGGAGAATGCTAACAAAATGGAGGAGAGGTTCTGTACGTGCTGGTGTGACAGTGTTCGAGTTAGAGTCCAGGATGCGTGAGGAAACTGGGGACACAGGGACCTGGTGGTTCCCACACAAAGGGCGGGGGGCAGGGACACGACGGAGATGGTATTTCCACTCTTCTCTCGTCTACATTTAGAACTCAGTGCTTTGTGCATGAATCATTTCCACTTTTGAAAATGAGCACCTTCATAAGGGAGACCCAGGAACTTGGTTGTATTTGCTGTTTCTCCAAAGGGGACACAAGTGACCGCTGAGTGGGTTACACAATGTGCACATGTCCCACTGATGTCCTGAAACAAGCCTGTCCTTCACTTTGTTCCGACCAGCTCCTTCCCTCTGCCCCACCTCACCTGAGCCCAAGTCACTGTCCCCTCCCCCATAGGAGCCACCACCCAAGACCTGAAAAGCTCCTTCATAGGGTGGTGATGCCCCTCAACCTGCAAGTGGACCCCCCAATGCATAGGATAGTCTGCGCCCAGGGTCTGGGCTCAGATGAGAAGGGCCCAGCAGCAGGAAGAAAGGGTCTTCATCCCCTGACTCACTCACCAAGAGCACACCTCCCTGTCCTCTTTGACCATCACAAGGTAAACACCCAGGCAGCTGGGAAACAGACACCACACCTGGGTCCTTATCACCACTATCAACTTGAATCAAGGGTGGACACTCAGCTAATGCACCTGTGCTCTGATGAAGGGGCAGGAGCAGGAGCATCAAAGGGGCTTTGAGGGTGACGGCAGCCTTGGCCCCAGGCCACCCAAAGGCACAGCCTCTCCCTCTCACTGGCTGGGAGTCTCCAAGCCTCCTCCCATCCCACCTGTAAGTACAGGCTGCCTGGGCCCTCCTCACCACTCCATTCTTTCCTCACACCTGACCCAGACCTCCAGTGACCCTCAGCCATGAGGACCCTCGTTCTCCTCGCTGCCCTTCTCCTCCTGGCCTTCCAGGCCCAGGCTGAGACCCTGCAAGAGACAGCTGACCAGGTTCCCGCCCAGGACCAACCTGAGGTCGAGCACCAGCACCAGCCCGGGGATGACAGCCAGGACGTGGCCGTCTCCTTCAC